ATAGATCAATCATTAATGTGGAGAACTTTGTATATAGATCAATCATTAATGTCTAGAACTTGGAATGTAGATCGCCCATGAATATCAAGAAGATTGTGTATAGACCAGTTATTAATTTTCAAGAACCGAACACACACACACACACACACACACACACACACACACACACACACACAGAGGAAACGTTTGGTTAAAGGGATGCAAACTTGTATAGGAGCAGACAATACAGGACACTGGATTAAAAAATGTTTATCAGACATGTGTGACATAGTTGCATTATGACATACACAGATTTAAAAAAAATCCCATTGAATATATGAATATTTATTCGTACTTATTTCAATGTTATTTACCAAGACCAGTGTGTCTTTTAAGTTGTTTGTTGCCAGAAGGGATTGACGTGTCTACATGTTGACATGTTATGTAAATTTATAAAATATATAACACTATAGTTGCCATCAGTGAAACAGACAGTGTGTCTTACTGTTTCAATACAATTTTGTAAAGGTATTAAGTTTTTTATTTATTAACTGTTTCCTGTAAACGGAATTCGGGCCCAGCTCAAATGGGATGTTAGTCATTCAGTGATTCAGATTTACTCCATAGTATAAATTTGAAAAATAAAATCCTTAAACTTCTCGAACCAAACCTCGATCAGTAATCGAGATTGACGTTCAGCAAAGATGTGGCCACATCAGGCATGGATAGAAATATGATCCGCTTCATAAATATAACAACACAAGTGTTGTTCGCAGGATGAAAACATACAAAATATCATTTTATCCAATGTTTTTAATGAGAGAACAACGACCACGAGTTGTTTATTTCTTATATGTGATATCAACATAATGAACAGCCTCTTTGAGGACGTTAATAAAATGTACAAGCTTTAAAAATAAATTTGAATAATGATGACTCCCTAAATGCACTCCGACCCCGACAATGTCAGACAATTACAATTACATTAACAGATTCGTTGCGATTTGTTTATCTGCCTTATAAACCGACCCATGACAACAGAAGCATTAGTCTTAGCAGAGAATTATTAATCGTCTGTTTTGTTTACATACCGCAGTCGCATGGCAACAGAACAAACACCTATATGTTTTTGCATATTTTGTGAGAGTGGCGGGCGCTACCTGTAGGACAGGACCTGCTCACCCTTTTCGCAAACACCTGGTATCATCGCTGATTTTTCGTAATCCATTCAAATAACTTTCACCGTCATTTTGCCTTTTACGCCAATTTGATTGTTTCGGCGTATTATCGAGGCTGGTTAATCTTTAGCGTTGGCTTTTTACATTAGATAGCTTCACCAGCATTGTTTCAATTCTGTTTAAAGACAGATTGGTGGACTCGAAAGAGCCAGACATAAAGGAGTAGGAAATGAGAATTCAAACCTTCCATTTCCTGGCACGAGGGTGTATTTGTGAAATACTTCCTGAATTCGATCAGAGCTTTTTGGTTGTCAAATTTCGGCCCGGTAATCAGAACAATCAGTCCAATTATATGGATAGGTGTGACATTGGTTTACCCGTGTCTCATCCTGATAGATAAAATCTGACCCCTCATCTCCCTATTTCTGCATTACTATGTCCCCGTGTCTTTTCCCCGGTAAACAATTGCTTTGCTTTTGTATGTAACGGGTGCCACCGATGGAGCGGGATACGTTCACGTTTTCGCGAACACCTTGTATCATTACTATTTGATAGTGATTCATAAACCCAGGCACATGATGAAGTCGGAATCGTACAATCGACTCTGCTTTTAGCTGTGATGTCTTATGGATACATGGAAAGGGGTTTGTCGTTTTTATCTTTTTGACGTGAGTACGAGTTAAGGTCACAATGATGTCCTTCGCATGGTAAAAGATCTTGCTGGCATTTTCCACATTCTAGTATATACATATCACGCTTCTCATCAATGAGAACCTTCAGCGTATGTAAGGTATAGGCAGAACACCGAGTGCGTACATGGCATAAACCGGTCGACGTACAACATATGCGTATAATTCATCGACGTCAGTGACGTGTTATCTGGCTTTACAAGGTCATCAGTACCTGGACTTTTCAGTATCCACCGCCTTACTGTATATGTTACAGTCAGTGTGTTAACTCAGTCAATGTGTAAAATGTGATTCTCTTAGGCAATTTATAAGAAAGGGCTTACAGCATCCCAGTAGACTGACTATGCCAGGATCAGAAGCAGAAAAAAAGAATAAAATATCTACTGATTTTTGTTTTCTTATAATTCTATCTCTGGGTGATGAAGGTAAACATCATAATGTTTGGAATTCGTTGTTGTAATATACAATACACAATTGTTCGGTCAAATTGTAAAATAACTAAATTGTAAATTGGCCAAGTGGAACTTTCCGCTAGCTCACACACTGACTGTAACATACATACAGGTATTTCGAGGGCCCTGCAAACTCCATCAATGACTCTATAGCTGTTGTGGCGTGGTCTGCCTCGATCATATGTCTTTGAAATGTATATAATTATACAGATTCACCTGAACCTAGGGAACGTGACGTGATCTGCCCATTTTGCTGTAGCCATACACGAAGAACGACGGATGTAGCGATTTCAATAGGTTTCGTGCATGCATGAAATGCACGTGATGCAAAGCGAGTGGGAAAATACCGCGAATTTTGTTTTCATACACTCTACTTAAATATGGACAATATGGGGGCATTCTTATCTGTACTTAAATTTGCTTTTATTATACTTCAATATTTAAATGATCTTCTCATGTTACATAACCCTCTCGTTTTTACGTTGGCTGTGTCAATAGTAAATCTTAATGAATAAAGAATAAAGCTGACGTCACAAGCGGCGCTGGGGTAGTCTAGTGGTTAAAGCGTTCGCTCGTCACGCTGAAGGCCCGGGTTCGATTCCCCACATGGTTACAATGTGTGAAGCCCATTTCTGGTGTCCCCAGCCGTTTATGTTGCTGGAATATCGCTAAACGCGGCGTAAAATCCAACTCCAACTCACTCACTCACTGACGTCACAAATATACGCGCATACGGTGATAGATGGTTCGGGGGCGTTTGCTTAACATCTAAACGGTAATTGAGTGTTTGTTTCAAATTCATACCACGGAGTGAATCAGGAACACTGAATAACTAAAATCTAATTTGAGCTGGGTATTGGATCCGTTTTCAGGAAACTGTAAATACATGAAAACTTGATACGTAATGAAATGAGCGAGTGAGTATGGTTTTACGCCGCTTTAAGCAATATTCCAGCAATATCACGGCGGGGGACACCGGAAATGGGGAATCGAATTCGGGTGATGAAATGAATGTATCAAAACAATAAACATGCTGACTACTTTACTGACGACAACAAAAAGTTCAACTGAGACTGTTTGAAGGGGCATTTAGTATTCACGCAGATAGCTTTGGTCAAGTCAGCCAATATAATGATTTATATATATGATTTATGTAGCATAGAATTATCCCTCTTGTCGTGACTGGTATTGCAAAAGCCACGGAATGGAGATTCGCGCACTTAGTAGAATAGTCATTCATTGAGCTTGGCCTATTGATAATTATGACCTTTGCTCTTCCCGTGTTGATTCCGGGGCAGGATGTGTTCACAGTAACTAGTAGAGCCGATTGGATATGATGGTTAAAATATTGAAGGCGGGGATCGTTGTTCATGATATCAAGCATTTGTTCGCCACCGGTTCAGATTCGATGTTTTAAGGTCGACGTGTAATACGAATGTTTAAACTCACTACCACCCAGCTTACCTTAATACGTAAAAAAGCGACAAAACCCTTTCCATATTCAATAGAAATCGCTGCTACAAGCAGAGTCGATTTCCGATTCCGACTATATCATGAACATGTGTTTATGAATCGCTATCAAATAGGGATGATACCAGTGGTAACAATGTGTTAATTTAACTGTTTGCATTTCATTAATGAGTACAAATATAAATGGGGAAAACACGAGAATTAATTATGTGAAGCGTAAGATACACTTACTCTTTGATTTATTTATTATTAGTTTTTGTTGTTGTTTTTTTAAGGGGATACGGGTGGCCCAGTCGTCTAAGGCGCCGCGACTCGCTGCGCAGAGTTGCGTCCCCTGGGCACGCCAGAAACCAATGATTTTGGGTTCGAAACCCTATTCGCCCCGATTATGCACCATACCCGTGCTCGTGGGTTTCACCGAAGTGGTAAACGTCTAAGACCTGCATCACCTCGGGCTTTCCTCCCACATTAAGCTGACACGCCATGATATAACTAGCATAATGTTAAAAGCGGCGTTAAACCCAACTCACTCACTCACTCACTCGTTAGTTTTTTTATAGAGGTTTTCACTTTCCGAACACACGCGGACAAAGAACAACCTGTTTCAAAGGTTTCAGCAACAAACAATAATGGCTGACATATGTGTCAATTATTTACGTAGATGGGACAAAATAACTATACCCACCAAAACAAAGAATATGCACATGTCACATCACACTTAGTTGGCCAACAAAAACTCGCACACCAATAATCCAGACTTTCTAGAAACGCTTGGTTGCTCTTTCACAAAACGCCCTTCTGTTAGTGGCAGACACAACAGGACTTGTCAGCACGCTTTATTGCTGTTACCCTGTAAGCTTTCTTATGACAGGACACCTGCCGTAGGGCAGCCCCACTGTTGAATAATGATCAGCATGCATGACAACCTTCAAATGTAAACTGCCCTTCTTAAACGCCCGTGCCTGTAGCCCCAAGGAGGTTTATGTCAGTAAACTGTGGCGATACACAGCAATTGTTATTGCGTAACCCCTATGATCGACATGCTGACTACATACACCGCCTGACAGTTATATGCATACTCTGCTGTCGACAACATGTTATGGCTGCACACTGCTACTACAATGAATTAAAAACACAAAAATGAAGTTAAAGACACATCTTGCTTCTAGTATAATTTGTTACTATGTAAGGTTGAAAGTTACCTGTACAGGTAGAGACACCGACATGCTTACCTCCATACTATCTGCGTGTGCTCTGTCCGACATATGCAGTGACGACCACCTCAACCAGGAAGTGATATCTGTTGCGCAGGGTGGTGTGTTTATCTCAACGTATTGCATGTATTTATAGTTGTGTTTCGCATGTACGTCGGGCAGGAAGTTATTGATAAGAAGGCTCTTAAAGGGAGACTCTGTTACACCATATAGCTCATATGCCTGGACATTATAACTGGTGCCATGTGTGGAATGACACCTTGTCTCTATGGCGTTAGGTAACCAAAAAGATATGATTAAAATAGACCTAACCTTGTGTGTTAGTAGACACGTATTAGTGGTGGTGTTTGGACGGATTGAATCAAATAGGCTGGGACTGCCAATTCGCCCCCTTTAAGTCCAAACACATTGAGTGCCACGACCATGGGCGGATACAGAGGGGTGTGTGTGTGTGTGTGTGTGTGTGTGTGTGTGTGTGTGTGTGTGTGCGTGCGCACCTTTTCTGCTTATTTCCTCCCTATGAACCAGGTATTGTGTAACAGCTTGTGTAGCTTTGCCTCCACAATCAGTCAATACAAGACACGGCGTATTCTATCCTGAACACATCACCGGGAAGGGTTTCACAAGCTCATATGACCGCGAGACGCATAATAAACAATTGTGTGGGCCAGATGCAAGAATTATTGTGGTCGAAACTGCATATCTCTTATTGATATACTATTTGTCTCGAGTTTATTCATCAGCAGCAGGTCTGTACTTGTGCATAAACAATAGGTACGGTGGGAGGAAGTCTATTTGGCGACAACTTTACTTAGAGAGCCACTTGATGTGTCAGCTTCAGTATTTGATATAGTTTGTGATTTACATAAATCCGATATAAATTGTTATCAAGGTATGAATTCAGTCATGGGTAGTCCAGAGTCCAGAGGTCCAGAGGGGGTCGATCGATTGGGATCGATGACATGATTCAACCAAGTCAACCAATCCTGTTAGTCGCCTCTTACGACAAGCATAGTCGCCTATTACGCAAGCATGGGTTGCGGAAGACATATTCTACCCCAGGAACTTCACGGGTAAGCATGAATGGTACACGAGAATGCATTTGATTGTGTTTAAGTTTAGATACAATCCCTAGTTACATTTTCCCAAACTTTCCTCGTTCATGTGCAAATGTGACAACAAGAACACGTATACTGACGTTTCCATTAAAATGATATCTTTATGAGAAGGTCATCGTGGAGACGGCTAACGTTTAGTCTCATGAGGCAGTGACAAAATATATAATTTCAGTGAGTTTATATCGGTAGAAACTGAAATTTCAAAGTTGTATTTTCATTAATGTTGAGGATAAAACTGTCCCTCTCGACATTTACGTTAGTTAAACTTTTGCTTTCTGCTTGTTAATGCTATATGAATAAGACATCGCTCCTTATTAGCATCGGATTCTAGCAATACCCCAACTGGTGCATCACAGCCTGCTTACAGTGTGACAACGAGAGGCTTGGCCCCGCCTGCTACTGGGGAAAATGTGCAGTTCTACCCTACCGCAAGTTGCAGGTTTAAGTATAATACTTTCCGTGCTTACAAGCTGAATTGGAACTAATTCACAACCAGTCAGCATGTGTATGCGGACATCAAAGTGACTAGGTATTCTCTGTCAATGAAAATGGACAGACTTCACTATCTCCCTGTCTTCAAGTATCTCCAACTGAATGGGTTCCACCAGCTACCCATGCGGACTTTAGGGGAGGATGTTCCTTCCTTGCCATTGTTACGAAGTGGGAAGCAGAGTTCAAGAAAGAAAGATCCAAGATCAGGAAGGCCTTCATCTGCCACTACTAAGACAATATTGATGAAATACAGGATATACTTAGAGATGATCGAAGACTCACACGTCACAGAGCCAGTACTGTAGGCAACTCACGAGAGAGTTGAGAACATTTTGAGGAAAGAACCGGGCATGACCTTGGGTTCCAAGGCTTCTGACTCCTGATCAGAAACGATCCAGGTTTAACATCTGTCGTGGGAATATACGTCGTTCTGAAACAGACCCTGCTGATTTTGTTCAGCGATTTGGATGATGGATGAGTCTTGTGTTCACCACTATCAGCCAGAGACAACAGGCAAAGCTGTAAAAAACATCTGGCGACAATGAGGACAAAGTGCTGGAAAGGTGATGGGTTTGGTTTTCTGGGAAGCGAAAGGAATCCTACAGGTGGACTAGCTCCCGAAAGGTCAAATGATTAATGGTCAATATTATGCTAATCTGTTCAGCTAACTGCATGAGTATATCAAGACTCTAACGTCGTGGAAAACTCAAGGTGTGTTTTTCCACCAGGACAATACACATGTGCACAAGTGTGTTGTCGCCATGGTGTCATACGCTTATGTGTCATAATGCTTTAATTAAATGATAAAATCAATTTACCCTTCATTGTCTACCCGAGGGCACGGGTGGCCTTGTCGTCTAAGGCGCCGCGATTCGCTATGCAGAGTTTAAGTGGGTTGTTGATTTAAATTACTTAATCAACATAAGTTAGCTTCAGGTGATATCATAGTCTGATAGAGGTTCATATCGTTATCACCAAACATTATCACCTGTCCTGACTGCTTAATAAACATACCAGAGTACAAAGTGCAATCTATTGGTTGATGAACAGACGTGCAGGAAATGCATTACTGTTAATGACTGCGTTAACGTCATAGAACTAATAATCTTTGAATCCATTTCCTTGACTCGTGATATCATAACTAAGGATAAAGGTTGTGTGTTTTGCTAGTTCAACATAATTTATTGAAAGTTTTCGGGTGAAATGAACCAAAACCGTAAGGTACACTGCATTTTTATTTGTATTTGGTATATTTAGACTGCAAGCAAGAGATCACGTATGCCGAATTAAGTGTTTATATACCTATGCCATCATTATGTCCCTGGTTAAAATGGTCACAATCTTCTACATGTCCATTTTTTAAGCCCTGTACTTGTCAAATCATACGCTATTTCATATATAAATCCTATATCCTATGTTGACTCTGACAAATAGTAGTGATTGTGGTCCTAGAAAGAAATCAGACACGCTCATTACTACCTGTAATTACTACGTCATGGAAGACGTTCAATCACATGACGAAATGACGTTTTGCACCTGGTTACGGCACGGATAGGAGGACGACCAAGTTAAGATCGAAAAGGTCACACCTTTTCGTGATGAAGACAGACTATGGCGACGAAATCCTACGATATAGGAAAGATGTTTCGAAAAGTAGAAATGGAAGAATCCAAACAGGAAAGTGAAACAGAAAATTGTATATTCCTTCCCCAATACACATCATTCTGAAAGTGCCTTGTTAAGGCATATAAGTTATACTTGAAACATTGGTAAATTTTGATATAAAAGAAAGTTTGTTTTTTAAAGTATACACTTCCAAAGACAGTAGGGGATTGTGAAATATAAAAGTTGCATCAACAGCAAGAACAATAGCATGACATCATCATAATAGTTCAATGGTAACATTTCAATTTACTCTTTTGTTTTATAGAACCCACGTGGTATTAATTTAACGTGTCTCAAATACTTTCTGTGAATATAATTTCTTTCTTTGGATGTACAAAGGGTTATTGTGAAATATTTGAGACAAGGGTTTGGTGTTACATTTACTGGATTCTTTTTGTGCGGATGTTTATGGAGATTAGGAATCCAGTACAAAAGAAGAATAGCCATGTCTTCAGAATTTAGAGTCAAGTCAAAAGTTTATATAGTACTGAAGCATGGTTTGGTGCGATTTGTTCCTTAGTTAACATACTGGCCTCATATATATACTGGCCTTATTGGATAGGCCACTAATACCAAGTTCTTTTAACAAACATTAATGTAGTGATGCTTACATGTCATAATTCTGTTATCTTATGTTTTGGGACATTGTATCGATTGCGGACTGACGCTGATCACATATTCCTGGATGAAAAAAGAAAGGTTTATTCGTCAGTAATATAGTGTTTGTTGTTTAACGCCGTACTCAGCAACATTATCGAGTCTAGACCTGACAATCCAGTGATGACACCATGAGCATCTACGCCATTGGGAAACGATGACATGCATCAACCTTGTCAGCAAGATTGACCACCCGATCCCGTTGGTCGCCTCTTACGACAAGCATGGGTAGCTCAAGACCAATTATAAGCCGGATCTTCAGTTTTCATGTGATAATTTTCATGTGATTAGTAACGTGATTTTTAACCAGTCACAAATCAACCTGAGATACATATTAAAAGGAGGTTAATAAATCTTTGGGGTTGTAACACTACTGTCATAAGAGGGTCTGACACATGTTGATGGACACCACAGGCAGATAAAATCAGGAATGGAAAGCCCCGGGCATTCAAACGGAATACCCGGGATTTCAAGGATCTGGGCTACCTTGGAGAGTTATCAGACAAAATGAAGGCTCCGTAAAACAATAGGATGACATCACAGGAGGTTTATAACTCCGAACGACACATCCTGCTCATGGTTGTCCACACACAAGCAGTCATTAAATCAGATCAACGCCTGAAGATCTACACGAAAGTGGACATTTGATACAGTTACACAAAGTATGACAGTGTGGGTTGGCTGATTGACTGTCAAACGCCATATAAACAGGTGATAGCTGACACGAACATAAGTGACAGTTTACTATACAATTTACTCAAAGGTGTAGTGAAATGCGTTTTAACGTCGTGTTCAAGATTATTGCACGATGTGTACGTGCGTTTGTATGGCGGACTACTTGCACTACCCCTGACTAATGTGGGTTTGGCAGTGTTAGTCCACAATTTGTTTTTTGTGTGTTTGTTTGTTGTTTAGCGCCGCACTCAGCAATATTCCAGCTATATGACGGACATCTGTCTGTAAATAATCGAGTCTGTACCAGACAATCCAGTGACTGACATCACAAGCAATTGGGATAGCTGACATGCATCAAACCAAGTCAGCGAGCCTGACCACTCGATCCCGTTAGTCGCCTCTTACGACAAGCAAAGTCGCCATGTACGGCAAACATGGGTTGCTGAAGACCTATTCTAACCCTGATCTTCACGGCGCTTACCACGATCAATGGACCAGAGAGTATGCCATTGCATTCTCAACACCCTAAGAGTATAAAGCCCAATTTGCCTATATGGTGACAGATAGACCCGTATTCACATTTGTAATTTATTCTACCGATGACAATGGCTACACCACATGTTATATAAGCAGTGTTTCAGTGCAGGACACAACCAACGCCCCAAAAACGTTCGGATCGCGATCGGAGCACTAAGGGGATCGTAACTCCTTTTCTTTAACACAGACCTACGACAGTCGAAGCTATACCATCGCATTGTGGAACGGGCCCAGATTACTTAATCTGTATTGGTTAAAAAGACAAGTGGATAATTTTTTAATGACGTAAGTTAACCGTGATTGAAAACATGTGTACAACCGTTGCATAATTGTTGAAGCTTGTCCAACGACCAAGGAATATGTATTTTGTATTGTTAGCAAGCAGGAAGTCTTCCTAGTAGACATATATAGACAATGTTCGTGCAAAATCCGACATGATGTCGGATGTTTGCGATGTTTTCGTTAACACAGTGTAACATAACGCGTTTACAATGACAATATATAACTACCTACACCATTCCGTTTTCATTCACTTTGAAAAGACGGTTGAGATATAGTACTCAAGGGAAGTTAAAGAACATCCGATTCTTTCACAGTACTGTAGGTGATCTATCATGGCATTACTACAGTAATATGAAAGAATCGGATGTTCTTTAACTTCCCTTGAGTAGTATATAATAGGTTTAGACGACCAAGGAATGTCAGACTGCTTGTATATATGAGTAAAACTCAAACCTTTTCCGGTGATATGTTCTACGCATATTGCTTATTTTCAGAACCATGGCTGAAGAACTAACTTAGTGACTTGTCTTTGTATAGTATTCATATATTTGTAACACATGTCAGTGAAATAGCCAGTGATACATTAGACCTGGGTTCAAATCCAACATTGGAACAATATGAGTGAGTGAGCGGTTAAACGCCGCTTTTAACAGTTTTCCAGTTATATCGCGGCGTGTAAGCTTAACGCGGGAGGAAAGCCTGAAGTAATGCAGGTCTCAGATGTTTACCACTTCGGTGAAACCCACGAGCACGGGTTTGGTTCTGACAAACCTAGAAACATAATTGGGGCGAACCGGGATTCGAACCCACAATCATAGGTTTCTGGCGTGCCCAAGGAACGCCACCCGTGCCCCCCTTGAAAACGGAATACAGATCTATACTGTTTAGTAAAGTTGCTATCCATTATTGTCTAGTTTGTCATACGTCTACTTCTGAGGAATGAATTTCAAACAATAGAAGAATTCATTGTCTACGCGAGGTATGCATTACGTGCCAACATGCGCATTTGTCCCACACAGTGCACGCCAAATGTTTCCAGCCATGCGCAGATATGTTGTTCTTCTGTCATAAAGAATGTCATGTCTGCGTCTCTGTACTGCTGTTATTTCGACAAGCGTTCCTGGGGTGCCAGAATTCACCACAGAGCACCATGATTCAGAGAGGCAGGGTCTGTAGACTCGTGAGAGAACAACATTCGATCCCTCCATCTGCACAACTGTGTCCGGTCGACAATGTATTCCTACCAGCGACGGGTGATGATTTGAGAGCCTCTCGAGCAAACAATATCTCGTAGTGTCTCACTCCGCTTCCCTCGCCATTGTGCACACATAAACCACTTTCATGTCCACTTGATCAGATTGGGGTCATTGTAAACAGCATTTCAGTACAAATTACAGCCTTATTTATATCCGATCTTACACATAAATATCTGCAAGGAAGCGATAATTTGGAGCATAGTAATAAATTTGTCCTTCCTCTCGATCTTTCAAACATTGTGTTATTGTGTTAAGTTAAACATTATATTGGCAGAAGTATTGCAAGACCATATTTCCATCATAATCACCATCATCTTGTTCATATAACTTCTTAGTAAAAAACCGACAGAGATTTTGGACTTGACTCATATTGCGACCTTTCAATCCATAAGAGAAATATTGTCACCCTTGAGATCAATTGGATTTTTATTTTACGGATCCTCAAAAGCAAAATTTCACAAGTATGAATTTAAATCAAAATCAAGATGACTTTACAAAGGGGCCAGACTTTACAGACCTCCACCATAAAGATGAATATTGCGTGCAGCTTTAAACAACAAACAAAACAAAACAAACTTTACAAAGATGCTGCTAATAGCTGAAATTCTTATCCTTATTAGTACTCCAACTTCTAAATGCCTATCAAAGAAGAAACAGAGTAGATGAATTCAGTGTAGATGGCCAATCCCTAAACTCTTCTCTAAGGTTTACCGTTTGTCTTTCAAATGATGCAGTTTATACAGTATAGAGTGTTTATACATGTAGTAGATATGACCAACATCAAATTTGATGCTTCTCTTCTTAAGGATTTTATAATCAGGCCTGTTTATGTGTTAATGTGTATTTTGTTTTGTTAAATTGCCAAACGAATATGTATGTCTAAATTTCATATATTGAAGGCATCTCTAATATATGAAACTACATCGAGTTGACCGTTTGTATAGAAAAATATGTCATATATAAACCCATGGATGTGCATAGTGCGAAGTCTCGTGTTATACCGCCGCACTCAGCAATACCCCTGCTATATGGCGACGGTCTGTAAATATTCGAGTCTGGACCAGAAAATCCAGTGATTGACATCATGAGCATCGATCCAAGCAATTGGGATACAATGACATGCATCAACCAGGACAGCGAGCCTGACTTTAGTCACCTCATATAGGATACATGTAAACATTAAGGTTCAACACTGGCAATACACGTACAATCTTAGACCATGACTAAGTGATTAGGTTTGAGATTGGTGGTGCATTCAACCGTTAAAATTGTTAAGCCAGCGGTCTGCGTTTTGGTAGTGAACCTTTACGCTTCACTGTAGGAAGATTTGACAATAAACAAAATGGTTACAGAGTAACATAAGAATGGATAATGGGTACAGCCCTTTGACTGCCCATAGCTAGAATGTCGCGAACACCTGAGGATCGAATTTCAGTGATCCATTCACATATATTTCACCACTACATCGTCTTTTAGTTTGTTGTTAACGCCGCTCTCAGCAATATTCCAGCTATATGATGGCGATCTGGAGCAGACAATCCAGTGATTGAAATCTTGAGCCTCGATCTACGAAATCTGGATACGATGACATGATTCAAGCAAGACATCGCGACTGACCACCCGATTCCGTTTGTGGCCTTTTACCACAAGCATGGGTTGCTGAAGACCAATTCAAACCCGGAATAATCAGCAAGTTAAAACGCTTTAAAATGAAGCATGCACTCGTAAGTAATTTGTCTATGGATGTAAAATCTAAAATTAATGTCAAAATAAAGCTATGCTTATTTATCATCCAAAACTGGCTCCCACAGGAGATATCGCTTGGATGAGATCAAGCGATATCTACACTGTAGATATCGCTGCAATGAAATTACATCACGATGCTTTGCAGACTACTGTGACGTCACTGGTTACCATGACGTCACAATCAAATGACATCACTAATGACTGCTACTGAAGCTGTTTGCTGTACTTTTTACACTGATGACTCTGCTTATTACTGTCTACAAATTGAAAAAGTTGGAAGAATGATGTTGAATGATAAATAAAATCTGTCCCCTCGTGTCTTTTGATATCAAATATATCAACACTCGTTGATAAAAGTGGCCAAAATCCTCGGGAAGCCTCGGAATTGTTCCACTTTTATCAAGTCGTGTTGATATATTTGATATCAAAAGACACTCGGGTGAGATTCTCTATATCTATAACTAATTAAGATTTTTAAGTTGTAACAATATATAATCTTAAAAATTAAAGGGGGAGATTACTCCAGTATGGATTTCTTTTCTCAGAGTAAATACCCGCCATATATCTGGAATAATGTGGAGTGCGGTTTTAAACAAAAGATCAATGCAAAGAAAATGTGATCTTAATTATTTCTGACACTGCATGTTTAAAATACTTCATAAGTTCATAACGTCATAGTGTTGGACACATTCCTTGCACAGTGTGGTTGAACCGCGCGCGTTCATTGCTAAATAAAACCCTGCGCAGTCACCTGACTGCTGACTCTTACCCGATTGTATCCACATAATCACAACTCAGTGATGATGATTATTGCAGCAAAATGATTATTTCTTGAAAAGCGCACTCTGCATTTTTGTCATTATCGTAAGTAATATTCTTTATTGGTGGAATGGTTTGTTTTCAACTATCTCCGTAAATTAATCATCGCGATATTTCGTGATTCTATTTCAAGTGGGAGGACTGTAAGTGCAAAGGTCGGATTATTAGTTCGATAAAAAGACTTCTCCCTCTGCCTTTTTATGATATTAAAACTCCGCATATTGGGTATTATTATTCAGTGAAAGTATTAAATAACACTGAAACATTGTGACATAACTTCTATAACCCATCATGGCAAACACAAGGGTACAATAATGACAGAGACTTTCGTTTAAAATGCATGGTGCTTATGTCAATTTGTGATGAAAAAAAATAAATCTCAACCTGATTGATGAAGATACTTTATTGTAACCATGTCCATTCATCCACCACTGGTATTCTCAGTGTCTTTCATGCCTCTCAATTCAACTTAACAATTTGCTCACAATATCAACAATTATAGTTTGATTCTTTCTGTATTCCCACAAAAAACTATGAACAATACTCTAGCTGCTCTGGGTGGGATGTAGCTCTGAGCCATACCACAAGTTATCATGGAGCAAACTGGCATAACTGCAATACCTTTACATACACTTATGACAGTATTTTCGCTAAGTAGTTTTGTGGAACATGGCCCAGCCATGCTGCAGTTGTAATGCTGATCAGGAAGGGTTGTCACTTCTACAGAGTTAATATTATATTGCAATGACCTACGACTGGTTACAAGGCTGTTCATCTATCCCATGGGTTGAGGTGCCTTCAGGAACTTCCTCTGCTAACGAAAGATGATGCAAATGAAAATAAGATTCATGAACTGAGAGGAAGGCCCGTCTGTGGAACTGTTCCAACCATGCATCTCTGTTGTCAGAGAGCAGCATGCTGATTAAGAGAATGACTTTTACTGAGACCTTTAGAAATTATGTTTTTCCTATCAATCTTAAAGTTGCTGATGTGCATCAATTCTACTCCTTCAATCTTTGTCTTCACAGACCTGAATACACAAGTGGTTCTAAAGTGCATCCTGTTTGCTACCAGAATTTTTCTATCAGATTCAAGTATATGCTTTATCCATTGAGAAAATATACACTCTGCCAAATGCCAGTCTTGCCATACATGCATATATACTCCCATATTCTTCAAACATGTCACATGCACCATACATACAACATGAAAGACAACAATCAAATGAACTAAATATGTAATACAAAGCTTAAAAATAAATTGTCCTTACTCTCATAAGTTTGTCTCATCTCTTGTTCTTTTGAATTAACACCTCCAAATTTGGAAATAGATAATGCATTTGACCAAAAGCATACCAACATACAAAAGCATTGGTAATTTCCTCCAACTAGTTGTGTGTGAGCATGACAATGATACCTTTTTGTTCTGCCTTTGTGATATTGTGTTAGTTAAATCTACTGTCTTCAATTTAGTTACAGCATTTGGTACCAGAGGTCAGAAAACACACATTATATCACAGCATACAAAACCAGCAAAATGAAAAATACAATCAGTGCATTAATGTATAGTTATAAAATATCAAAAAGACGTAGGATGTAGGATAAGATAGTGACATAAGTACAAATTGTTGAAACCAATGAAGGCAGTTAAAACAAGGTCATGTACACAACAATTATCAAAGTAATGCTCTTGGTATTGCAAGCCGTGCATGGATGGTTTGAATTTCAAAAAAGATCAGTAACAGCTGTACTGGTCTTGCTTGCTTACTTGAATCAAATCAATAATTTAGCAAATCATCTAAAGAGGCGCCGAGTTGGCATTCTTCATGTTTCAGCTCTTGAACTATGAATCCTTAAAATGCTATGATGTGCCATACACTTAGATACCGGTACTCTTCCTGCTGTAGCTGTCAAAAACAGAGTAATCTATTCAAATTGGCGAAAGGTGAAAGAAAGTTCTTTTTGATGACTTCATAAATCAAGGTTGAAATACAAATGTCTTCTTCATGATGTCCTATTACCGGGGAACAAGCAGCATTTGCAATGTACAATGTCAACATGTGTAACAACATATAAATAAATAAAGATCTGTAACATAAAGAAAATTGATTACACAGACAAATAATATGTACAAGATGTAAATCATAGCTTGTGTTTTAAACAAGACATTCACACAAATGACACACATTAACATTTAGCACTTACAATTCTTTCTTTCAAGATTTAAGTAACTGGTAAAAATACTCCAAAGGAGTTTGAGGATATAACTTGTTTACATCAACTTCAAAGAGTCATGCGCATGTTCCATCTGCCTCTACAAGTCATCATTATTTGGAGAATTGATCACACATTATGAGAAACTTGCTTTGAGATAGTGATGGAATACAATAAGACAGAACATACATTATCAGATCATCTACTACTTGTCCTTATTGAAAGTGACCATTAACAAACAAGTAAGGTTTTGTGATGTGTTTAGCCATAGTTGAGTCATATCATATCGAGGAGTACCCTGGACTTGAAGTTTTGAGCAAATGTTATGTAATTTTTCAGATTATCAGTCCAACAACGTCATGCTTTGGTTATAGCTTACCGTATTCGACGTAATAAGCATCCCGCTCTAATAAGCACCCACAGCAATATTTGCTAATATATTGGCTAATGAACAATCCCAATTAGCACCCCCTCTGATTGATCTAAGTACACAAGACTTATTTATTCGTGTATAATACGCACTCGTGTGTTATATACACTCTTAATTATGGGCAATTAAATTCTGAAAAAATATATCTGCCGTACATAAACCATAAAAGTTTTCTTTCAACTCTGTTATTTTCCACCAAAATAATATTCTTATAAGAGCCCCCAATTTTTAATTTTGAGAGCACCCTGGGCACTGATTACGTCGAATACGGTAATACTAAAAAAACATAAGTTTCTGTTTCCCAATCTCAAGCTTCATCTCATCGTGACAATATGTGCTGTTGTTCGCAGCAGTAATCTTTTTACATCAATTGTTGAATCATATTAGATGTTTTGTTTAAAAGGCACAAAAATACTTCAAACACTATGAAACGAAGCCTCACTTCCTGTTAATTCAGAGTTTCCAACAGTCATCATCGACTGACCTAAATGCCAATGGCTGAATATATGATACTGAATTCAATGTACTAAAAGCCCTACTCCAAAATCTGGCTTAAAAAAATAAAACATGAAGCATCTTCTAAACATTCTCTTCCCATCTGTAGTTTCTATTAGCCTTATTTTGTACTGAAGTAGTCAGATGCCTTACCTCAAACTCAGTCATGTGAAACAGAGCTTTAGTAAACTTCTACCCTTGGAACTTCCCACCAAGCACCTGTGTTCTTACAACATGAATTACGATATTGGACAGAACCAACTGGAGAATTGTTGACCAGAGACAGAAATCTTGAATGGCCCTACCTTGTTATTACTTGCATATATCACAAAGCCACATACACAGTTAAATATATATTTCTATTACATCATATACATACAGACAGTTTACAAGAAAAGAAAAACAGTGTAAAAATACTTTTCTTTACAAATAATTCTTGGAAAGACAATATGTAATAGATCACAAGTTATTTCACTTGCAAACTCAATACAGGCAAGACATGAAAATATACAAATTTGCCCCATACATACAGCGTGTAACATAGCTTCATAGAAAAAAATCCACCTTCTTGTAAAGGCTGGACCATATTATTTCCTGACTGTCACAAAGGGTAGAAAATGTGTTCCAGCACAAAACACATGTGCTATGAATACAACCCTGGACTACACAGCACAGCATGGTTCTAACAATACAACAAAGGTCTGGAGTCGCAATATGTATGCTGGAGCATCATCTTTACTTCCAAGTCATTGGAGTGAGTGAGTGAATATGGTTTTACAGCGCTTTTAGCAATATTCCAGCAATATCACAGCGGGGGACACCAGAAATGGGCTTCACACATTAGGCTACCCCCCCCCCCCCTCCTAAGTCATTGGAAGTGTTTGCAGTTTTGACATAGTGTATTGCACAAATTTATGTACACATGTGCATGGTATGGTGTTAGTAGGTTTGACATAGCTTGCAGCAAACAGTTATGTACAGAAATGCAGAAATGCATGTTTAGACATGTAACACATACATGTTTAGACATACAGTGTTTTGTGCGGGAACATTTGATGTATCCTGTAACACACATGTATGTTTAGACATACAGTGTTTTGTGTGGGAACATTTGATGTAAACCTGTAACCATGGTAACACACACGTATGTTTAGACATAGTGTTTTGTGTGGAAACATTTGATGTATCCTGTAACACACACGTATGTTTAGACATACAGTGTTTTGAGTTTGTCGGAAGAGTTACATGATATGTAAGACCTAGGTATATACTGCTGTGCAATGTTTCATGTTTGTTTAAATGTTTCATGTTTGTTTAAATGTTTCATGTTTGTTTAAATGTTTGAGTTTGACATTGTATGCTTATCACTGCATGTATCTATACATATACTGCATAGTATAGGTCAGCCTACTGCAAGCATGTATGCATATGTTGGCTAGTCAGTGTCAGATGAATGTATACATATGCTGGATAGTCAGGGTCTGTAGACTTGAGCATAAAGGCAGCTGTTACATACTGGAGGAGATAGTCAGATTCAAGCAAATACTGGACCTCTGAACCCTGTCTACATGTAGGGATGCCTGAGCAGGATTGAGTACTTTACCTCTCATCAGCACCAACATACACACTCACAATTAGAAAAAATATATATTTCAACCAATTACTGAACGTTTCCCATTACCATTTCAGCATTGTATGTTTCATACAGTGGAAATTCATCACCCATAACAACTGATTCAGTAAGTTCTAAAATGATCTTCTCAGCCAAAGAGAATCTGAAAGATTTTATTTATTTATTTTCCCTCAAAGGCTAAGGTACCTTATGGCCTATGAAGGCATTTGGATTCTCTACATCCCTATTTATTAGATGTTAGGGTAGCATGGCATTTGGCATGTAAATCTGAGTATCTCCCTATACGTGTAAAGATATTACTGCGTACTAATCTGTATTAAGGGATATGAGTCTTTCACTTAATTACTCTACCTAACACTTTGAATATCTGAAACAACAGAGCCACAAGGCTCTGTAGCTCACTAAATATTTCGGGAATATTGCATTAGATCAGAAATTCTATACAAGGGCAAAAATATAAGTAAAATATGAAACAAGTCTCTACTAAACAGACATCCTCCAAGAATGTTCATTCAAGTACATCTGGTACATGCATTGATGGCTACACAGAGCGCTATGTCATGACTACCATGACACTGCTGCCAGCTGGCATCACTGACGCATAGTTTTAGCTTACTTACTCTTGCAGTTCAGAAAACGTAAAAGTTACTGTAACAACGGGCTGATATTGGACAACGTGTCACAACATAAGCTCACTTGACTTTCAGCCAGGTAGTCTAAAAAATAAGAATGAATCCTAATATTTGAGTGACTTTTTAGATAAGCGTCATGTAATTCATTGTCATTTTTGTAATCTACACTGATCTTATAAAATTCTCAAATAGGAAATATCCCTTAATAGAGATTTGGACAAAACTGCATACATATACATATTTACACTAGTATATATACTTTGAGACTACAACAAAAAACATTTAGTATGGAGTGCTGACAAATCATCAAACTGAAATATCACCAATGAAATTTGTCCAACCTTAAATGAACGACATGGTCTTGTATCCATGACAATCACAGCCATTACAGAGTGTTGACATCTTTTGTGACCATGGTTACCTATACTGATCCATGGCAGAAAATAGTATCAAAATTGCATGAGATTTCAGTTGAAAAACTTGGTACTGGCAACTTTCATGCATGTGAATACACCTCATGAAAGCCAGATTAATAAGTGTAAAGGATCATAAGTTAATGGGGAAATTAACTTGTAAGGAAAATAAAAACCCTTAAACCATCAGTGAGAAACCAAGCGTCAACTGGCAAAAACTCAAATTCAATCAACACTAAGCACTGAAACCTCAATAAATTTGTTCCTATGATCCACCAGTTTGAACAGATGATGTCTTATTTCATCTCTGTTGGAGAAAGACGACCATTGTTGTAGGCCAGCTCACAGCTGCGTCTGCGCCGAATCATGGATGTAGTTTCGTCCGCCGATTCTCCCGTTGAACAGGAGGAAGTCGGCGATGGCTGGGGGAATGACAAACAGCTATCACTCACTTTGGCTGACTGTGGAATCAAAGAAATAGCACTTTGTGAGCTGTCCGAGCCAATGGATGGACGGTCCGTTTCCACCTCGGGTAGGTTCATACCACTTTTACTGCTCTCATGGGAGGAACAACTGTCCAATCTCTCTGCATGGGCAGCTCCATGAAGATAGCCTCCATCACCTCCCCCTTCACTGCTAAGGACACTTTCCCTATACCCAGAATCACTCCCAGCTGCCGCTTGCTCACACACTGTCACAAATGGCACTCTTATACCTTTGTCCGAGTCAGATTTGCTATTCAACTCCCCTTGATAATGGCCAGGAAGACTCTCCTGCGAATCTACATCCTGAAAACGTGTGCATTTGCGGCACTTCTGAAGCTTGACTTCATCGAAGGAGTTACTGACACTTCTGGAGAGTCCAGGTGAGTTTGGCTGTGAGGCGCTGAACTTTCGGGGGCACTCAGAGTGGGATGTGTGACTCTTGTTGTCCGATGTACAGTCCTGGCACAGGGATACACAGTCATCTCCAGCGTGACTCTCACATGGAGGGGAGGACAGGGAGGTGCTATCCTTGTTGCTGGAACACATACAAAACACACATACTCAATAACACTATCAGAATTACTTTTTAGGATGTTGTGGACCTAACTGATCATGTGAGAGAAATCCAAAACATTTTACAGATTGACAGGTACATGAATGACTGTTTAGCTAATGTTTTAATGCTGTTTTGAACGGTATTGTGGGGTTTGCAGTCTTTACACTTGTGCAATGCACAAGCACAATGCACACACAGTTCACTTATCTTGGATCTGCCTTGTTCAACCCTAATTCGCTGAGCAGCTGAGTGCTGGACTATTACTTATCTTGGATCTGCCTTGTTCAACCCTAATTCGCTGAGCAGCTGAGTGCTGGACTATTACTTATCTTGGATCTGCCTTGTTCAACCCTAATTCGCTGAGCAGCTGAGTGCTGGACTATAACTTATCTTGGATCTGCCTTGTTCAACCCTAATTCGCTGAGCAGCTGAGTGCTGGACTATTACTTATCTTGGATCTGCCTTGTTCAACCCTAATTCGCTGAGCAGCTGAGTGCTGGACTATTACTTATCTTGGATCTGCCTTGTTCAACCCTAATTCGCTGAGCAGCTGAGTGCTGGACTATAACTTATCTTGGATCTGCCTTGTTCAACCCTAATTCACTGAGCAGCTGAGTGCTGGACTATTACTTATCTTTGATCTGCCTTGTTCAACCCTAATTCGCTGAGCAGCTGAGTGCTGGACTATTACTTATCTTGGATCTGCCTTGTTCAACCCTAATTCACTGAGCAGCTGAGTGCTTGACTATTACTTATCTTGGATCTGCCTTTTTCAACCCTAATTCGCTGAGCAGCTAAGTGCTGGGCTAGAACTTATATTGGATCTGCCTTGTTCAACCCTAATTCACTGAGCAGTTGAGTGCTGGACTATTACTTATCTTGGATCTGCCTTGTTTAACCCTAATTCGCTGAGCAGCTGCTTGTAAAACATCTTTGCTACTACATGTTAAACACCATTTGAAAGGTCTAATCCTACTGTTTATACATATGAAAATTATGTTTATGGCATTATTAAATAATGCATTTACAACTAAATTAAGTGTGTTGTAAATAAAAAAAATTAAGCAAACACATTCATAACGTCAGGATTGATGACAAAGGAAGCAAAGATTTGACGATTTTGGGCAAATATGAGCATTTCTGATTAAATGTAATGTTTTTATACTTACCTGAAGCTACACAGTGCTTTAGCTTCCCTACCTTATACAAACAGACAGTACTAGAACGAAGAGGCAGTTAAACAGACTACAGCCCTTGCCTTGGCATCCACGAATTATTCCCCTTGGCCCCTACTCCTCATATTCCTCAGAATCGGCATGGTCAACGGCATCGAGGGTTAGTCAGCTGCTGTGCCAGGACAAGTGGACAAAAGCTATGTGTACCCTCAACACCCTCCACAGAAATGGTGTGAAGATACTGGCTGGCGAAGACAGTAGTAGATGACCAGAAGCACCCATCTATGACGGACCGGACGGAGATTTTAGCATGGAGGGCCACCAGCGAAGAAGACAGGGCACAGATCTCATGTGGACTGGAAGCTGTTGGTGGTGGTAAGTCAGCAGGATGATAAGCCCTCAGGATAGCAGAACGAAGCCAAAGGGAGATTGTATTACGAGAGATCTCTGCAGAGACACGGCTGCAAAGAGGGATGAAAAGCCTCTGGCACTGCTTATGATGATGCTGAGACACCTGAAGATAACATCAAAGGCCCCGAACAGGAGAGAACTTCTTAGTCTGGTACTCCAGTCGAAAACCTCGAACCATAGCAAAAAGGGCAGGGACCGATGATAACAGGACAGAATTGAGCACAGCAAGGTATGTCGCAATCGTGGAACCAGCCAGGTGACGGGATTGGCGAAGAAAAACCAAAAAGTCAGCGACCTGTGGAACGGTGACCTCCATGGCGAGAACGAGTCAGATCCAATTTCTTCATGTTGATCATCCAAACCAACCGATGGAGAAGGCAAAGGGTGAAGTCACGGTCTGATGGACGCCTTGACCAAATATGCAGTCCTCGAGGTAGGCTCCGAAATGAATCCCTCTGCGGTGAAGGAATGCAACAATGGGATGGGTTATATCTGTGTGAATAACCATGGAGCCGTGAAAATGCCAAATGGGAGCACTTTCCATTGAAAGTGCTGGTCTTTGAAGATGAAGCGGAGGAAACGACAATGTGCTGCATGAATGTGATCGTGCAGGATCCTGGAGATTCAGACTGATGAGGAGGTAGTCCATCGGTTGCAGGAAGTGGCGCAGAGACCGGATGGAGACCATCTGGAAATCTTGCGAGGAGCGAGATAATGGAGGTTAAATAGCACCAGATTGTGGATCATTTGTAGTTTGGATGAACACTTCTTGGGCACCAGGAAGACTGGAGAATAAAACCCTGGAGAGATGGAGTCGTCGTCCAGGAGACCCACTGCATTCTTGGCGATCAGTAGATTGATATTGGCCTGAAGATCCAGCACATTGTGAGGACGGCCAAATTATTGAGGTTCCAAGGGAGTGGTAGTTAGAGGAAGAACGGATGAACAGGGACAACTGGCGGAGGGAGTTGCCAGTTGTCAGGCATCCAAAGAAAGTCAGTCTGTTGCCAGTCCCCTCTGGAAAAGCGTCCACAAGGTTGGCGCATCAAGTGTATTTTGAATGACGGATCCCAGGCAGAGTGTCTAGCGATGGTGATGGATCCAAGGCAGTATTGTAGGCAAGTGGACATGTGTACAAGTTGACGCTGTTGCCAATCCAAGACAGAAAGGAGCTGGTTATTAGCCTCAGATGATTCTTGTCTAAGTCTCTCTTGTCTCGAGTTGGCGGAAGCGGATAAAGAGAGTGACGGAGAGAGGTGTCCATTTGACCAAGCTGCGAATCTGTCATCTGAATCGAGCTACTGGGTTGAGAAGAGCTGATGAGCATCTGAACATCTTCATCAACAGGAAGGTAGATGTTAGCAAATTCCATAGGGTGGAAAGGATAGTGTTCCTTCCGAAATCTCGGAACTTTAATCGATGGCTGGACAGGCAGTGTTGTAAAAGCAGCGTCCAATGAGCTGGCCACATCAGTTACCAACTGGTCTCGTGTTAGGAGAACTTCTCCAGACTCCAAAACTCTGTGCTCCACCTGGGGGGAGGCGCCTTGCCCAGGCGAAGCACAAGGGAGATGATCCACAAGCTAAGCAGGCATATCGGCAGGAGTGAGAGACTTGGTCGGAGACACTTCGTTAATGTTGCTCATCATCCGACGTCTGTTGCCCTGTGCCGGGACCCCAGATGACGAAGCATGCTGAGTAGGCAATGGTCGGTGAGACGAAAAAGCGTCTGACCTATGGAGCTGGCGACCATCCATGAAAGCTGGCGACGGCCTGGCGATAGCTGACGGCGATTTGGCAAGCGCTGGCAGCAATTCGATGAAATGAGGCGACGGTCAGGCGCCGGCTGGTGACAATCCGGTGACGCCTGAGGATGATCTGGTGACAACTGGTACTCTGTCCCGACGATAGCTGACGATGGCGCTTGACAAAGGCAGCATTAGTGTCGTCAGGTGTATGAGAGGGGCAACGGGGACCAGAAGACAGCGGGACGAAGTATCTGACGAGATGCAGACTGGCGGGAGCTGGCAAGATCCGAGCTGACGGGAGGCAAAAGCAGGTTGTCTGGACGATGCTGAAGGAGTTGCTCCCAAAAAGCACGAATGGCCGAAGGATTCATAAAATCAAGCGGTGCAGATGGCATAGATTGGGGAGCTGTCATCGGCGTGGTCTTATCTGAAGGCGGAGGGGGCGGATTCGACGGAGAGGGAGAGGTTGGTGGCGGCAAAGTATCAGACATCTTCTTCCTATAAGCAAGTTGTTTCTGGCGATGAAGATAATTAACAAGGTAAGTTGAACTCTGTTTTTCTAGTGAGTGAGTGAGTTAATGCTTTACGTCACATTCTGTTCTTCTACATGTCTGTCCGTAGGGCAGACAGAGAAGAATGTGAGGAGTAGGGGCCAAGGGGGATAACTCGTGGATGCCGAGGCAGGGGCTGTCTCTTAATTTCAGTACTGTCTGTTTGTATAAGGTAGGGAAGCTAAAGCACTGTGTATATGTGTATCGTCAGGTAAGGTAAAACATAAGATTTCATAAAAGATTTCATAAAAGATTTCATGTTTGTTTTTGTATTTTTATTGTTTATTTAATCGGAAAATTATTTTTAAAAGAATTATTAATAATATCTGTTATCATTTTCCCAATAACAGCTGCCGTCCGCTAAGTAGCATGAAGACATTTCTCCGTTTTCGAAGCTTCGTATAAATAACGCGTGCCATGGGACACACCATTACCTACGAAGTTTATTTTGTCATTTACACGATAGTAAACTCGCCTAGAGTCGTTACATTACTGTAACATGCGATTTTATTGTTTCAAATGACGCTTTCTTGGCGAAATCTGCGACAAGATTCGTGATTGGTCAAATTTGAGCACAGGACCTAAAGCAGCCAATTAAATTGCAGCCATGTATGATGAATTTTAGATTTTGACGAAAGTTTTTTGTTAAATCGTGTTATTCTGAATGTTTTAAGCAGGAAATCACGATCTATATAAAAAATATTAAACTTTGTGGATGTATCGTGCCAGGTTACGAGCTGTGACAAAGATTTTTCATGCATATATTTTGGCATTAAACATATTTCAGACATTGCGAAACGTGACAGATTTAATAAATCAAATATATGACAGGAAGGTTCATAAAGTTAAATACTAATTTGACGTGACTACGGCTTGGTCAGTCTACCGGCCTGCTGTGTCTGGGGACTCGGTGTTGAAAGAGTTCAATCGTGTTGACCATTGTTTTCCAGAAAGGAAATTCAATTTGTTTTTGCACAACATATTAATAAAAATTATTTTTACATACGAGTCATGATTATCAACAGAAATACTCTCGATCATTGATAAATTAAGTGTGCCAAATGGGCATGCAGGTAAGGAATTCACCATGCCATTACAGTTTTAGGTGTGCCCTCGGCATGATGGCACTAATCATTTCAAACCCTGAAATGATATGTTCAATAGATCTGGAGACCTTTTAGTCCTCAATACACATAGATGAAGCATAAAATAACGTCTTGTTCAAAGAGGATAGTTATGTTATGCAGTTGTAATCATTTCTCAGTGAATTTGTGTACCCACCTATAGCCCGCAATAGATCCTGCCAGTGCCTTTGTGCTGGCATCATCATAGAAAGATACTGTGGCTGACTTTTCGCTGAGGCTGATATTGGCAGATTCACTGCTGAAGCTGGCTCTCTTACACTGAGACATGTGGTTGGTAGAAACATCTGCCTGCACCTCCAGTCTAGCACAAACACACAATTGATAAAGGTCAGTATTGTGGCCTTCTGCAGGAAAATACACTCTACTCAAGGATCATGTTCAAGAAAGCAACTTCTGTGTTACAACTATCATATATGCACATTGCATTACAGGAATTGATGTCATTGCTGTTGACTTTTTAATGACCTATAAATCAAATTGGTGTGTGTGAATGTTGTTTTAGCCGCAGTCAGCAATATTCCAGCCATATCACTGTAGGCTTTTAATAATCAAGTCAAACGTGTTTGAGCAACAATCAAACAAGCAATCAGCTACTGAAAAAACTGCAACCTATTCAATTGTCTCTGACAACAAACAAGGGGTATTGTGGACTTAACCAGCCCAGGAATCCCTACTACTGGTCAAATAAGTCACCAGAACCATTACTGTTAAACATTAACTTAACCAACAATTTACTTTTGACAAACCATTTGGCACCTTTAACTGCCAGAAGCATAACTTTCAGAAGCATTTCACGTACTTGTTCTGGTATGTGGTGTATGTGCTCCCACACAATGAGCCATTTAGACTTGAGCCTGCAATAGCTCTGTTGCTGGCGGAATCCCGGTCACTCTCATCTCGTATGCCGCCCACACGGTCCATGTGACTCCCACTGGCACTCAGACTGTTGGTCATCCCAACAGATGCCTCACCAATACTGGGGGCGATGCTGGGGTTGGCAACATGGTGGCCAGTCTCAACACTATGGCTGTCTCCTGTGACAAATTGGGGCATAACATATATATATCCAAGTAACATAATGTTACTATTTTGTATATTACCAACACACAAAATATTTCCCATGTCCACTTGATATATCTACTCAGGCAATAGCAGAAACAAGATTTTTTCAAATTGAAAATATTCAGTATTACATAATTTATAATTAAGAATCATGACATAAATCTGCACCTTTCCCTTGCTTGTCTCCAAAAGCTGAAGTAACTTGTCAAGCTCATTTTTACAGAAACATGGGGCTAGTTGCACAAGTGATGCTAGTGCTACAACTCTTGCAACTTCTATGCTTTAACATAGACTTATGATAGTCGTAGTGTTAAAGTTCACTTTGTGTAACAGGACCGTGACTGAGATATATGTATCTAACTGACACTCTTCCTATAATTCAGCCTACCTGTATCTGCGTACTTCCCAGCCTGTGTACCCTCGGCCTCCTCATCAAACTCAAAACGAACTCCGCCTGTGTTGGTGGTTGTCACTCCACAACCTCCACTCCGACATAGGGAGATTGGAACGACACCATACACATATGCCAACAAGATGGGAACACCAATACCTGAAAAAAAAAGGCCATCAACATTTCTGAAGATCTGTTCCAAACTTGCTGCAAAGCAATTTCTTCTAGCAACTTCTTCTATATTAATAAGCAAATTTCCCGTTGATAGAAGACAGAGGTGTATAAAATGAACAGAGACTTATGACATACCAACAGCGAGGCCTGCTATGATGGGAGACACCAAGATGGAGGCAGCCACACCTCCCGTTATGGCCAGGTTACGCCGATGTTTGGACGTGGAATTCTCGTATCGGGAATGAAGCTGGAAACAGATAAGCAAACACTCATCACCTTCACACAACACAGATCTGATCTACCCGAGCAGTTGTTTTTCCCATAAAATTCATGAACTTGGAAGTCAAATAATTATCTACTGGCAAACAATGAGGGTTGGTCAGGTAATCTGAATCAAGGGCAATATTCGAAATTAAGGGGGGCCCCTGAGGCCCTTTTTCTCTTTGATTTGAATCTAGAACCCCCTAAATCTTTAACTTTTAACCTGGTTTGAAACAAGGAACCCATGACTTTCAAGCACAATTTCGACACGGAAAGCTTATTATAGTGGTGCTTACCTTCCTACCGACCCACACGGGGATGCCTATGATCATGGCAGGCACAGCTATACCTGCCACTAGGGTAATACCCACAGGAGCACCCACTAGGGTTCCTAGCTGCCACAGAATCTTCTTCTTCCTGCTCCATGGCTTCTTCCCCCAAAACGTACAGCCAGAGGGACTGAAATGGGTATAATAAAACATTCAGTAAACATTGATGCCATCTCCTTTCAGTTGAAAAGGAACCCCAGTGAGATGGGAAAATCTGGACTTCTTTCATTTATGGCTTTAGCATTACAGTATGGGATGGGCAGAAAGGAGAATAATATGGTTCAGGGACTGTGAGGGACTAACTTATATACCAACCTCAGACTTTTCATGACTGAGCACCATTCCACAAAATGACCGAAGAACTACATCTATCATAAGCCTATGTCAAATCATGAGTGTTACAATAATCTTAGAGTTAAGTTCACTTTGTGGAACAGGCCCCTTGACTTTGTCATCAAATATATGGATAATAGATGAAATGCAAATATAAATACTTTACTGATAATGCAGTATGGCCTTGTTATGTATGTCTCTTGTCATGTGTGCTGAGTCTGGGCTTTGATGTCTGGACAGTGAGCTACATGTATCATTTACTTCCTGGAACCAAGCATGTTACCTGAGATAGTGTAGATCTGAGATTTCCTTCATGCATAGCCAGCAGAACTCTGCCCCGCACACAGCACATGTCATGTGGTTACAGGATCCATCGTTCATCTTCACAATGAAAGCACCACATCTTGGACATGGCTTGATGTCATCTTCTGTCAGGAAACAAACAAACGATTACGATTCACCATTCATTGTCCGGTACAAGGAAATACTGAATGTTGAAACAGACAAGGTGATATTTAAAAAGTGCAACTGAAAACCCTAAAGAACATCAAATGTTATGGTTCTGTGTATCAAATCAAACAGATTGAATTTTGAAATTTATATCACTGATACATTTTCTGTGATTAACAAGGAAACAGAAAATCATCATTAGGATTTTTGGCCAATTCATCATCACATCTAGGGGTCAACATTTTTTAATATAGGGCTGACTGATCCACCAATAACTCACTCTGTGATCCAGACTCATTACTGTAGCTGAGGGAGGATGATCGTATATTGGGTGACCTCTCTGCCCGGGCTGTGTCGCAGGTCTGGTTGGGGTGCCAGTGCTGCTTGCAGTGGTAGCAGAAGAAGGTGTTGCAGCCAGGCCTCTCACACTTTAACTTGGGGCACCCTGCACAACTGGTGGCTATTACCGCGTACCTGAAAAGGTCAGTCCGAGTATGATTTGACGCCCCTTTTAGCAACATTCCAGCAATACCACCGTTGGGGACACCAGAAATGGGCTTCACACTGTACCCATGTGGGGATCGAACACGGGCCTTCTGCGTGGCGACCACTGTTTTAACTACTAGGCTACCCCACTGCCCCCAAACCAGCATTGAGTCAAGTTAAATGGTTGGCATCTAATGCATCCTGATTTAATAAAAATGAACATGAATGAACTGTGATGAAGCTCTTCTCTCCTTTGCCACCACACCTGCTTACAACGATGTGATGTCACGATCATGATGATGGCACTGTCTGTTTAGTAAGGAACAGATTACGGTCGCTATCTTTTGAGTCACTCTCTTTGAGCATTTGCATTATTACCATGATTACTAGGCATTAGAATTCACTTTTGAAAACAAGGGACTAACTCTGTTATTCCTATCCAATAAATCTGACCTAAGTAGCCCTAAATAAAAGTAAATACTTCCAACTACTGCTGCTACTACCATAAATCAAATTTCTGAGTTTGGTGTGAATGTTCCACATTAATACCCCTTCAATATGTTATCCAGTTCGTAAACTGTCAGGCAGATTTCGGTCGATTGCAGGATTTGCAAAGCATGTGCACCGCCAACTCGTTGTTAACAGATATTTTCAAAATCTTTTCATGTTTTTAATCAAGGTTCTCACGTGATTTGATGCATTTTGCGATGTAAGACCCGTTTTATCACAATGTAGATCTTTATTATCGAGCAGATCGTCCTGACTTGGCGCTGCCATTTTATTTGAAGCAAATGCAAGTGATACGAGAGGTGGAATCTGATTGGTCCATAGGAGAGGCTTAGAAGGGACATAACTGGTAATAGCCACTGGTGGCGCTAAGATCGAGCCCAGGAATTCAAGCCAAGTTCGGCAAGGGTGGAAACTGGACTTTTAAAGTCTGTTAACTCTCTTGCCTCGGGAAGATGGTGCCCCTCATGGTTTATTCTCCCTGCAGTATCTTATAATATGATAAACAACAACCACAAGACATTTTCTTTCTTATATGAGATATCAACATTATGAAGAAACTCTTTAAGGAAAATGATAAAATGTACAAGGTTTAAAAACATTTACCCATATTTAAATTATGATGACTCCCTCAATAGAATCCAACCCCAGCAACGTCAGACAAGTCCATTTATGCACAGGTGGGTTTTTCCCCGCATATTCTCACAATCCTAACGTTGATTATCTGTACCTTTCTCCCATTACTGATTGTCATATCCCTCTCGCTTTTGAATGTGATTGTTCAGCCATCATGTTTATCTGCTTTGCCCAGCTATACATCTATGGGGAACAACTCACTAGACCATTGCTAGACACTCCCCTGGCAAAAATAATGTTGTCCAATATAAGACAACATCAAGTTTGTATGTTCGTCGAACAATCTTGTTTGCGATTTATCGTGTAGCTATCTTATATATAATAACACCTCGCATAACAGGAAATACAATTGAGCTGGTAAATCATCTTGTCTAGAGTAATAACGCTTGTGCTAGAGAACACAGGGTCATCCAAGGACCCTGAAACCTGCGTTATCGCAAGTTATGACTGTATATTGAAGGAATGTGAGCTTAATGTAGGAGGAAAGCCCAAAATGTGATGCACTTTTTTAAATGTTTCCCAACTTAGTCAAACCCACAAGCATGGGAATAGAGCTGAAAAACAAAGAAACATAATCAGGGTAAATCCCTGTACATCTAATTGGACCCGTGAAGATGTGGGATGGATTAGGTTTTCAGCAACCCATGCTTGCCATAAAAGGAGCCTATGCTTGTTGTAAGAGGTGACTAACGGGATTGGGTGGTCAGGCTTGCTGACTTGGTTAATGCATGCCATCATATCCCAAATGCGTGGATCGATGCTCATGATGTCAATCACTGGATTATTTACAGACTGCCATCATATAGCTGGAATATTGCTGAGTGTGGCGTTAAACAAACAAAACAACCAAACAAACATCTAATTGCGGTGCCCTAGACAACTGCTGTTGATGTTCACAAATAAATACTGTCCTGCAGATTCATTTTTAATTCTGAAAGAACAACATGAGTTCCAATACCTATAAATTGGAACAGGTTTCATATTTTCATACATCTCATCAAACTGCAACTCACACTCAAATAACAAAATAGAGATAAGACCTGTAAATTATAATGGATGACCTACCCACAGTCTGGTGCAGGACACCACCTTGCATCAGGATCCATGGCTAGAACACGCCGCAACATGAAGTCCTCATACTTTGTCATGAGAAGCTCATCTCGAAGGATCATCTGGATGTCATTTGGGTGGAACTTCTCTGCACACTCAGGACATGCAATATTGATACGACTCTCGGAGATCTCAATCTGCAGGTACTGCTTCAGACAGTCTCGACATGATCGGTGGTGGCAAGTCATGATTTCAGGGAAGTTGTCTAGATCCTGGTCCACCATGCAGACTGGACATTCCCTGCAGTTGTCCTTCCTTTTGGACTGGGCCACTGCAGTCACGCTGGGGGGAGGGCATGGCACTATAGGCAATGGGGGTGGTGGCGGCTCACTCACTACATTTAGACTCGTCTCAGATCGGGCTGAATCCGAGTCCAGGCTGGCATGTGACTTGGATCGATTACGAGGTCTCCGCACATGAAATATTCTCCTCAGGGAAAATGTTGAGCCCTTCCGGTGGTCAGACCCTTTGGAAGTTCCTGAAGAAGTTGAGATAACTTCACTATCTCGCTTCTTCATGGCTGATGTCAAGATAGGCTACTGTGGGATGTGAAGTTCAGATTCCTGGAAGAAAACAAACAGCAATTCAGCATAAAGTCATAGACTCATACACAGGACATAATATATCTTAAAACAATTACAGGAACCTGCAACATATAGTTAACATAAATAACATGTACATGATGTTGTTTGAAAAAATGAAGGAACATCAACAAGTTATCAATCTAAAATTAATGAATCCTAAAAGTATATGAATCAATATGGGCTAAAGCATGTTCACCATTGAAATATCACATAACATTTTAGCAGACAAGAAGTATGAATTAAGATGATTCAGAAAGGTGAATACATCTGAACATATATCAATATCATGCTGACAGGATTAAGCATGAGTTCCATGACTATAACATGCTACATAACGCCAACTGAGAACCCAGCTGGTAACTTTAAAAGTGGCCCACATTTAACAAAGAGATGAAAAAACAACTAAAGGATTAAATAAATATGTGTGTGACTCCAACACTGCCCCTGTGGATTTGTACATGAGAAGGGATTCAGAAATTTTTACAAATGTTTGAGGCCGGCCGATGTATTTTTCAGAAACATTTGAGATAAAAGCCATAGGTCATACTGATAGGTAGTAACACTAATTGCATACATACATACATACATACATACATACATACATACATACATACATACATACATACATACATACATACATACATACATACATACATACATACATACATACATACATACATAACTGTGTGCGTTTGTGCATTCATGGGTGGACACACGTCAAGAACATTACAGTATTCTTGTATCATAATATCACTGTTTCACATTTGCATGTATAAGACATATGGTACATAATTTCCGATAAAGAAAAACATTTTGACATATTTTCCTGAATAAACAATAATGACACATAAAATATCTTAAACATGTTAACCATGATCACACTCTAAGCATATTGTAGCATATTTCATTGCATATAACCTTTAAAACATCATAATAATTACTTCTAAATGTTGAGCTTGTTGACTAGCAATCCTCTGTCCACATGACACAATACCACTCAGAGTTCCATGGGATGGGCCTGTCCTGTTCAGAATAACATTAACGGTGCACCAACTGCTTGTGACATTGTCCAGTTGAGTGCACACACACAACAGCTGATAACAGTGTTTAACTACCACAAATCACAGCTACCTCAGACTCTAATAATAGCAGCAGAGAACACCTAGAACTAGGACACAACTGTCAGTATCAGGGACTGGCTTTGACAAACAAGATACTTTGTAATTACCTCTGTCATAATATCAATCACATCAAGGGGCTATGCAGCAAACACTAAATGTCATCATGCAAACATGGCTGTCACAACATTCACGGCAAAGTGGTAATCATTGCATAACTATTAATACTTCTCTGCATACCAGTAACCATAGTGACAGGTATAGTCTAGTATCAAATGAAAGGTTTTTCTAATAGGGCTGATTATGAGAACTAGGAAGCCATGTCAGAGACTGATAATACAAATCATTACAAAGCATGACCGATCCACATGTAATCATAATTATCACCTAAATCACTACATCACTTGAACAGGGCACACCCAAAATGCTGCCCGTCACACCCAGACCAATAGCCATCATATAGCAAACCAGTACATTAGTCTTAGCAGGACAGATTTAACCCTCCCAAAATATGCTATGAATTAATTTGACAATGAAATCATGAACAATAGTTAGCTAAGAAGATTATAACTCACTTGTCACAAATAACCCATTGCCTAAACAAGCAGACAAGAATTGGTCACTAACATGTATTGATGTTTGTCTTAACCTGTATATAATTAATAATATGACAATGATGATGTTACAATCCTGGTGATATTGATGTTTTGCACAACATAAGGGACAATGTCGACTGTACATCACCCATCATTGTGTGTACCGGTAGCATTAGTTCTAGATACTGTTAAAATAAACAATTCAGTTACTTCTAATTCAATCTTTCATGTTTTGTAATTGCTCGAACATTTTAGATGTACATATGCTGAGCAACCAATTAGCTATAAAAAAATATAACTGAACAAAAAAAATCCCAGTTGACCTGAAAATATCTACCACTTTGATAGAAATCTGACTGGTTTGAAGTTATACAAAGCTCTGTGTCATTTCAACTTTCTGATTGGTCAATTATGTTGATTAAATAACAGATGGATATATAGGTTAATAATATCCATCATGACTTCATGCATGAGTATGAAATAATATTTGAGAACAAGTCCGGGATTTATCAACATATTCTTATTATTAGTGGCCGGTGCTTAGCCTCAAAGGCTATACTACTCAAACACAAATTAAGTAGCCATGTGCTTTTCAAAACACTAAAGGACCAGATGTTTTTGTATCCTGGTCATCAGAACAACAATGATGTATTTTTTCAGCTCTCTCATCATCCTGATATGGCTGACATCAGTAATTGATTGTCTGTCCTCAAGCTAGCACACAGTGACACAATCAAACAACCGACAGCTTCTCCTCTCCAGCTGTGTGACAGAACTGATAAATGTCTGTTTAGTCAAAAACAGGAAAAGTAAATTGGCATTTCAGCCCTCTAAGTATCGACCATTTTGGCGGCCAAATGTGACTTATATCTATGATTGCTAAACTACATTTATCTACTGCTCGCCATTTGGATACCTAAAAGTAAACATAACTGGCGACAATATCTGTTGGCTGTTAGGTTTGGCTCAGCTCCCAATATTCATGTTATGAGTCGCTTGACTACCTGACAAAAAAAACGAAATTGGAGGGATGCATTTGATGCATGTTGAATTTTCCTAAACCAGGGTTACAAATTCCTTGTATTAACGTGTTGATGACACAGTATCAAATCTGCTGCACTTTAGCACAAGTTAACTGGACATACCAAAGGAAATGATGAATGAGTGATTTGGGTTTAACGCAGCTTTGTACAGTATTTCAATCATATCATGGCATGTCAGCTTGATATGGGAGGAAGGCAGGAAGTGATGCAGGTCTCAAGGGACGTTTCCTGGGAGGCAAGGGTGGATCAGTTGTCTAAGGAGACGCATTTCGCTGTGTAGCATTACGTCCTTTGGAAGCACCAAACACCTATGATTCTAGGGTGGCCATGATTATGTTTCTCAATATGTCGGCACCATATCAGTACTCGTGGGTTTCGTGAAAGTGTTAAACGTCTCACACTGCCATCATTTCGGGCTTTCCTCCCACATTCAGCTGACATGCGGTGATATGGCTGAAATACTGTACAAAGCAAAGTTAAACCTATTTCTTTTTTCATTGAAACGTCTACTTTTCATTGGCACACTTAAATTAAAAAGGGCACACCTAAACTTCATATGTGTGCCCTGTGGCACACTTGAAAGGAAATGTATTTCTGTCCCTGTATATATAGTAAATACATATGAATTTATATTCACAAAGCTTACAACATGTACAAAAGCTAAATAATATTATCATTTTATACACTGTTAACAGTGGCAAGGACTCAGATGAATATATGTATTTTTTGCCTCTCATAACCATGGTAACAGACTTCAATAGCATATGGCGTACCATGACACAGTATTCACAATTATGTATGGCCAAACATTTATATAATATGCGCCACTTTCATGAATAGTGTAAATTAATGACTGGCTGCAAGTTTGGAAAGGACTTTTATATCTGAACTGCTATATAATATAATGGTTGCAAAAGATAGTGACTCAATAATTAACAAAGAGTCTTCAGAAAGATGACATATCCACCCGGCAGCTGTCTGTAAAGTAACCACAAGTAAATGTGCAATTCTGTATGTAATGAGTCAAGAGCTGAATGTTCTTGAAGAAGCATACATTGTTTACCCACAAAAGATCCACCATGGTCGCATCCATATGAAATGGAAAGTAAAACAAGTGTGTTTCTTTTTTTTTTTTTATGCAAACGAATTGCAAATTACAAGAAACAATAACTAAACAAGCGTATAGTCAACGAAGTCATCTATATCCCCCGCCCATTCTAACACGTTATGGTCCCAAACCAGGTAACTGACCCAACATTTCTCTTAGCCCATCCAAAAGAGCTGCAATGGAAATTCTAAAATAAACATTTCTAAAACTCCTTAATATCAAATGGCACCAGTTCAGTATGTTCTTTATATATAGACATGCAATGTTTGGCAAGGAAATATTTAACAGTATATTTGTTATACTCCATAAGTGAACCCACCCTATATTAAAACTTAAATCCAACTTGTTGCCATGGAAACGTAAAAAATAAATATTTCTAAAATTCCTAAATAGCAAAAGGCACCAGTTCAGCATGAGTCTGATAGACATGCAAAGTTTTGTTAGAAAGTTTTGAATGGGTTTTGAGTTATGCTCCGGAAACGAACTCTACCCTATAGAACCTAAGTCCAAATTGTTGCCATGGAAACGTAAAAAATAAATATTTCTAAAATTCCTAAATAGCAAAAGGCACAACTTCAGTATGTGACTGATAGATTTGCAAAGTTTTGATCATATACACTGAATTGTTTTCTAGTTCTGCCTCGGAAAAAGGAACTGATTACAGACAGACTGGCTGATCGCTATATCCCCCCGCAATATATGCCGGGGGGATCAAAATAATGAACACACTTTATTAAAGTTACCTTAATTTACTTATTTTTTTATATCTTATTTGCGATTTAGCTATAAAGTTGAGTTTTACTACTTTTATCAAGGGTTCCTCTAACATCATCTGAAAGCCCTCTTTAAAATATCTTTATTTATTTTTATTCTTTTAAATGTCAGGTAAACTCTGATCCCATGATCGATGGGTTCTCAACTATCATACCCATGATGCCTATTAGTCTGCATTACGTCCTATGGTTGTGGTTCCGAATCCTGATTCGCGACGATTATGTTTGAAGGTTTGTCAGAACCATACCCGTGCTCGTGGGTTTCACCGAAGTGGTAAACATCTGAGACCTGCATCACTTCGGGCTTTCCTCCCACATAAAGCTGACACGTCGCTTATAACTGGGACTACTGTTAAAAGAGGCATTAAACCCAACTCACTCCCTCACTATTAGTCTGTAAACATGATATTTTCTATACACCATAGTAACTTCATTTCAATCCATACAGCTTTTCATCATCACCTGACCTGCTGACATATTTCACACAATTTTGATGAGCAGCTAGCATTGACAGTGAGTGATTCACTGACCGAGTGATCCGTTTCAAAAGTATGCTGTTGTTTCTTAATAAGCTTCACAAAAAATAGCATGCGAAAAAAATAAGTTGTGTTTCAGGTCACATGGACCAAACAGATATGGGTCACTCAGTAGGTACATTGTTTTAATTATTTGATAATTCGGGTAGTAGGTTGTTTGTTTTTCATTTAATATTGGTTTTCATAATGCTTTAGACAAATGGTTTGTTTAGAACTGATGTTAGGCGTAATGTCTCTCGAATTTGTCAAAATAGCTACAGGGACATGAGAAGTGGAAACATCTGATTTTTTCCCAAATGTTAAATATGGGTTTTTGGTGGCTGCTTCCAGCTGTGATAAAAACATGTGGTCGCAAGTGAAACAATAGGGTGCTAGGCTACCTGGTTGTTCCTGAAGTTCACTGTAATAAACATTATAAACGGATATGGCTCACTGTCCGTTGTAATGTTGACATCGTTAAGATTCAGAGTTAGCAAAAATGGTTAATATCAGTGTTGAGTATTTAACGAGAATATCATTTGAAACTTTTGTTCTAATATTCTGTTTTCATATGAACATGATGAAAAATACACAGAAGTAATGCTTCAAGTCTATTTCTTTTACCTTCCATGATCAGAGAATTAACTTGTCATCGATTGTTTTTTTAAGACTAATGGTTAATCTTATAATTACAAATTCCAATACAGGATTATCCAAATGTTATAAGAAACTAGGTTCCAGAAAGGAGATGACTATTCAACTACTGTGGGGTTGTGTGAGTAGGAATGAAAAAATTATATTGGTTATATTTCAGAAAAAAAGAGAGAATAAGACAAAAACTATAATGGCCACCAACCAGCTATCACCTATTTTTCTGTGTTTCTGCAATATGTTGTGTATAGTAACTGTACCACTAACTTTGAATATTGTGAAACTAAAAGTAAAAGAGCTTATTTCTGTTCATGGAAGAAGTTATGACTTGATTTCTGTTCTGCAATGAAAAAGAATGTCAAAACAGTGGAAACAGACTTTCCTGTCAACTAAACATACCAGTTATTGCCATCATAAAAATAGCATGTGCCATATTGTAGTTATTGTATTCTTAAATATTAGCGAGAATGCTGTTATCTACTTGTAGTATACCAATGGACATAAACAAATAATCCCCAAATTTGATCTGCACATGCTTATCCATGACACTATGTAATCATGGTAATATAGATTTTACAATATATTCAGGTTATGCTCTTTGAAAAAGGGCTAAATTTGGTTCTTAGATAATATTTTCAGGGATTTTCAGCTTCAGTTATACAAATTACATTTGTTAGTATCTCGGGTATCCGCACTCAATTTCTTATTCATCAAAATGAATAAGAAATGCTATTATCAATTTGTCATCTGCAGACTGACAAAAACCAATATTCCCCAAATTTGTCCTACACATGCTTATCCTTAACACTATGTACTATGGATTTCGCCATATGTACAGGTTATGCATTTTGGGAAATTAGTTCAAATAGGTTTCAGAATTGTATTTTGGGGAAGAAATGACGGACAGATAGAAAGCAATGACAGAACTGAAAGAGCATCATCGTGTTGTTTGATTTATATTTTCGCGTGAATTAGTCACTGCCCACGCATCTTTTCTAAAGTTGTATTTAAGCAAGGTGATTATGGTGGTGTTTTTTTAAATATTTCCTCACAAGAGTCCGTTTTGTTCATTTTTGGATAAATATTTCTTTCTTCTTATGAAAACGAGCAAATGTAAAATGAGATGCACTCATGTGCGCACTATAACGGGGAGTCGGCGATAACTGGACGCTAGCCAGTATCATTGTGCTGTTGGATTTTACGTGAGAATTCGTCACAGGACTTCATGTGTCTTTTCTGTAGTTGTATTTGAGCAAGGTGCTAATCTATTGTATTTGTTTTTCTTATATTTTCAGTCACTTTTGCTCATAATTTTTGGGAAAATATTTCTCCTTTCTATTGAAAACACGCAAATGTAAAACAGGTCGCAATCACATGCACACAATAGGACCCTGATTGGGGCCATAATTGGTATAATCAAGTGTACAGTTACATGTTACATACAAGAGTCGGCTAAAAGATCGAGGTAGCACTAGCCTTTATAGGACCATTAGCAATTAACAATTTGAATAAATGTGAATAGGTTGCAACTAGTACGTAGAAATAAAACCCCTGGGATTGCAAGATTTCTCCGTGCCTTCATGTTTATCACTGTTTATTCTTGATCACTAAGCTTAGGCCTTAGGTTGATTTCCATGATGTCAAAATTAAAGATTTCTAGATTACCATTTTCCCAATGTGTAGTTTTCTCCTGCTTTCCTCAACAGCAACATAAGCCGAAAATTAACTAATCTGGTCAAAAAACAAACGAGATTTCTGAGCTTTTGCATTTGACAGATTCTGGGCGTATTACGGAAGTTTGTTTTGACAACTCTCTTCAGAGGTGTTTTCTTATTTAGGTACAAATCTACTTACCCCTTGATAAAGTTGGAATGTTGATCATTTGATTCCCTGTAATGAAGTTAATTAATCGTCATAATCAAACACATTTTAAAGCCATTTCGGCCTCAGCATACGAAATCTAACATTCCGAAATTGAAACCCGACCATTTTCTACTGTAATGGCCGACAGATTCGTTAACCGGAAGGGTAGAAGAACCTATCCATATCTTACTGTAACGGATTTAAACAAAACCATCATAGCTAACGGTCAATATAAATAATCATTCGTGGTGATTTTGGTATTAATTTTACAAAGTAGGGCCTGTATAATAAGCACAAAAACATGTCACGTGATTAATTGTAACACCGAAATGTCATGTGACTTGTACCGCATTCAAAATGGCGACTACTATTTCATCCCGGAGCAGGGATATGAAGACGTCGAACTAAACACAAGTAAAGACTTATTCTTTTATTTCTTGAAATGAAAGAATGAAAATCTGGATATATAATGAATAAGATTTGGGCCTAGATTTGACATGGCAACTTCCATGCTGAAAAGAAAATTAGGAATTAGGGCCTAAAGTTTGTAAGGCACATATCACTATTATCAGTACCTTAACCGAGTGATAACAAAGACTAGATTGAGATAGCCGAGAATCGCAGTAGGGTCTAAGAGTCTAGACATGACCCCTTCGCGGTTTGAGCATGACCTGATTTATAATGATTACAGATTAGTGTTTCCGTGGTAAAATTTTCAAGACAAGATTAGATCGTGGAATTTACAGTGTTCATTGAAAATAATAAATGACGAGATTGGCATGTGGGTTACCGCACTATGCGATGGATTAATTACGATACAGTTAACAAGTAAATAGGGTAAGACTTCCGCCCGTATCCCCCCCTCAAAAATATATATGCCTAAAAAGATTGAGAGGCAATGCATTCATATACAACTTTTCGAGGGGGGATACGGGCGGAAGTCTCTACATAAGACAATTTGCGACAGGCCTCTAGAACAGATTTCAAGAATGATTTCTTAGCCAATAAGATATATGATTTCAAACACAGGGAACTAATTATAGATTGTAGATATAGATGACACAACTGTGTCATCCTGACCAGTTGAATTATCTGAACTGATATTGAAAATACAGGCCAACACAAACCAGAAACAGATGAGCCCTAAGCAAACTTTGACCACCCAATCAAAATGAAGGATGCATGGGTTCTTGAGCCAATCGGATGTCAGCTTTCTAAAATGATTTGACTTCATTTCTTTACTACCTTGATTCAGAAATTTTGATTTGTACAAAAAAAACCAACACAGAACATAAGTATTTCTTTGATGGTACTCCCTGTAGGATGAAGACGCCATGTCACTCAGTAGTGTATGAGTGAGTGAGTATGGTTTTACGCAGCTAGAAATGGGCTTCACACATTGTACCCATGTCTGGAATCGAACCCGGGTCTTCAGCGTGACGAGCGAACGCTTTAAGCACAAGGCTACCTGACAACCCTGTCATTCAGTAATGACAGGGTGTATAACAACAACAAAATTATGCAGCTTTATGTTTATCTACATTCAGATTTTGTCGTGCTTTCGAGATACAAAAATCAAGTATGCTCGTGTAAACGCATCACTCACTCGTATTGAAAATTTAGAAGCCTCAAACCTGATTGGCTGATAAGAAAAATCAACAGGTGTCCTCAGATCTTCAAGCAGAGAGATATCATATGAAAGTGTAGGATCTGATTTGAATGACATTTGGTGGATGACCCCCCTTTCACCTGAGTATCAGTATTTCATCTTATCATCTAAAGTCAAAATAATTCCACATCTCGTTCAAGACCAAGATACAGTAGTGAATTGTTTATGTCAAGGGACTGTATAGGCGTTATAATAAATACTACAGTGTTTATTTGCCATGCAGTGTTTCACCAAATGAAACTATCAACAATAATTTGTTGTCTTGAGTATAGTCACCAACAACAGTGACACTGTCACCATGTACTTAATCCCCTCAGTGTCATGCATAAAGATTTGATTGAATTGTTTTACAAGGATTGACTACATGTCAAGTACAAAATCAAAGTAAAATCAGAAAAAAAAAATCTGTTTCCTTTTTCTTACCCCCCCCCCCCCCCGAAATATATAAAATATGGTTTGGCTTTGTTGAGAGGTTATACAAGAAGTTAAGAGAAACAGCTGTAGATATTATAATTAACATGGCTATAATTGTGACTGTTGACAAGTCACATTTCCTATCTTTTTTTCATGATGTAGGTGAGGACAATCCTGAGAATGTACCAAAAATGGCTCTTCAACTGTTTAACAAACGTATCGTGTGTCATCGGAAGAAGCAAACTCTAGCTGTGCTTGCTGCGGTTGTGCTGGTGTTCTGTCTGATGCAGCTGTTCTCCTTGTTGAAGCTGAACATCTTCCGGCAGCAGCAGGGGGAGAGTGGCCTGTATGGAAGCAAACACAACAATGGCAGGAGCACAGGGATACACTATCCTGACAAAGACAGAGAATTGTTTACAAAATCAAAAAAAACTGGCAACCACAGGAATGTGATACAGGATGATCTGCCACGTGGTGTTCACGTTGATGTTGCACACCTGTTCAAACCAAATGACCGATACATGTTCACCTGCATTAAAACAAAGGTAAACACATGGACATTAGAATTTAGACTTTCTTGGCACATGTTAAATCTACTCTCAAATGTTGGGATGTCATGTACATGTATCTCAAGGCAACACATTTTCTTAATTGGTCTATGGATTGCTCCAACCCCGGAAAATAAAAAGTTACCAAAAAAATCTGAAAAGCACTTTTTCTTTTATTCTGCCAAATGCAAATGTAACCAGAAATGAGTGTGGATATGATAGGTTAAACTGCATGGGCGTAAGTTACTATTGGTAAAATAATGAGACATGTTTAACTGTGTGCATATGATAGGTTAAACTGCATGGGCGTAAGTTACTATTAGTAAAATAATGAGACATGCTTAACTGTGTGCATATGATATGTTAAACTGCATTGGCGTAAGTTACTATTAGTAAAATAATGAGACATGCATAACTGTGTGCATATGATAGGTTAAACTGCATGGGCGTAAGTTACTATTGGTAAAATAATGAGACATGCTTAACTGTGTGCATATGATAGGTTAAACTGCATTGGTGTAAGTTACTATTGGTAAAATAATGAGACATGCTTAACTGTGTGCATATGATAGGTTAAACTGCATGGGCGTAAGTTACTATTAGTAAAATAATGAGACATGCATAACTGTGTGCATATGATAGGTTAAACTGCATGGGCGTAAGTTACAATGGGTAAAATAATGAGACATGCTTAACTGTGTGCATACATGTATGATAGGTTAAACTGCATGGGCGTAAGTTACTATTAGTAAAATAATGAGACATGCATAACTGTGTGCATATGATAGGTTAAACTGCATGGGCTTAAGTTACTATTAGTAAAATAATGTGACATGCTTAACTGTGTGCATATGATATGTTAAACTGCATGGGCGTAAGTTACTATTAGTAAAATAATGAGACATGCATAACTGTGTGCATACATGTATGATGGTTAAACTGCATGGGCGTGAGTTACTATTAGTAAAATAATGAGACATGCTTAACTGTGTGCATATGATAGGTTAAACTGCAATGGTGTAAGTTACTATTGGTAAAATAATGAGACATGCATAACTGTGTGCATATGATAGGTTAAACTGCATGGGCGTAAGTTACTATTAGTAAAATAATGAGACATGCATAACTGTGTGCATATGATAGGTTAAACTGCATGGGCGTAAGTTACTATTAGTAAAATAATGAGACATGCATAACTGTGTGCATACATGTATGATGGTTAAACTGCATGGGCGTGAGTTACTATTGGTAAAATAATGAGACATGCATAACTGTGTGCATATGATAGGTTAAACTGCATGGGCGTAAGTTACTATTGGTAAAATAATGAGACATGCATAACTGTGTGCATATGATATGTTAAACTGCATGGGCGTAAGTTACTATTAGTAAAATAATGAGACATGCATAACTGTGTGCATATGATAGGTTAAACTGCATGGGCGTAAGTTACAATGGGTAAAATAATGAGACATGCTTAACTGTGTGCATACATGTATGATGGTTAAACTGCATGGGCGTAAGTTACTATTGGTAAAATAATGAGACATGCTTAACTGTGTGCATATGATAGGTTAAACTGCATGGGCGTAAGTTACTATTAGTAAAATAATGAGACATGCATAACTGTGTGCATATGATAGGTTAAACTGCATGGGCGTAAGTTACAATGGGTAAAATAATGAGACATGCTTAACTGTGTGCATACATGTATGATGGTTAAACTGCATGGGCGTAAGTTACTATTAGTAAAATAATGAGACATGCATAACTGTGTGCATATGATAGGTTAAACTGCATTGGCTTAAGTTACTATTGGTAAAATAATGAGACATTCTTAACTGTGTGCATATGATAGGTTAAACTGCATGGGCGTAAGTTACTATTGGTAAAATAATGAGACGTGCTTAACTGTGTGCATATGATAGGTTAAACTGCATTGGCGTAAGTTACTATTGGTAAAATAATGAGACATGCTTAACTGTGTGCATATGATAGGTTAAACTGCATGGGCGTAAGTTACTATTGGTAAAATAATGAGACGTGCTTAACTGTGTGCATATGATAGGTTAAACTGCATTGGCGTAAGTTACTATTGGTAAAATAATGAGACGTGCTTAACTGTGTGCATATGATAGGTTAAACTGCATGGGCGTAAGTTACTATTGGTAAAATAATGAGACATGCTTAACTGTGTGCATATGATAGGTTAAACTGCATGGGCGTAAGTTACTATTGGTAAAATAATGAGACGTGCTTAACTGTGTGCATATGATAGGTTAAACTGCATTGGCGTAAGTTACTATTGGTAAAATAATGAGACGTGCTTAACTGTGTGCATATGATAGGTTAAACTGCATGGGCGTAAGTTACTATTGGTAAAATAATGAGACATGCCTAACTGTGTGAATATGATATGTTAAACTGCATGGGCGTAAGTTACTATTGGTAAAATAATGAGACATGCATAACTGTGTGCATATGATAGGTTTAACTGCATGGGCGTAAGTTACTATGGGTAAAATAATGTGACATGCTTAACTGTGTGCATATGATAGGTTAAACTGCATGGGCGTAAGTTACTATTGGTAAAATAATGAGACATGCTTAACTGTGTGCATATGATAGGTTAAACTGCATGGGCGTAAGTTACTATTAGTAAAATAATGAGACATGCATAACTAACACTGCATGCATGGGAACATATTGAGATTGCTTTTAAAAATAAAAAAAATAAAAATTTTCCCACTTACCAACCATGATAGTTCTCAAGAAGATGTAATAATTTTCTTGTGAGTGCCATGACGGAATCGTGATGTAATTATGGTGGTTTCAGAGTGAGATTCCATGGGAGCATGTGAATGATGACTACTGCGACTGCGAAGACTCCAGCGATGAACCGGGAACTTCAGCGTGTCCAGACTCCAGGTGAGGGGGATGAGGAATTGGATTGATTGCTTTTACATTAGTCTACTTTGTTCGAATGCCTAATCAGAATGTTAGGACTCCTTGGATTAGTAAGATGTTGAATTTATCTGTCTGAAAAGAGGTGCTCTTCTGTTTGTAAAAATGTTTCACATATATGAATAAATGATATTTTAGGCTGCAGCTCACTCCATTACAGATGCACCATAGCCTGATATAGCATATTCACTATTAAGTCATCCTGGGTGCTTAGGAGATTGACAAAGCTGTGTGCTTATTAAGACAATACGCAACATGTTAAATTTGTTATAAAGATCAAACTTGGTTCAAATGTCAATGAAACTTAAATGTTGTTGACTTGAATATTTGTGAGTATGGCGTTAAGCAACAAACACAGCTCTTTATTAAAAATTTCATTTTCTACTTTGTTTTACAAAGTTAAGCTTCTGAAAACTTCATATGGGGAGGACTTTTTTATGTGTCTTCTTATGAAGGGGTACTTGAATCTATTATTATTTGAAACATGAGAACACAGAGGTTAATGCAGTAAATATGGTACCTGTGTATATATATGTTTTACAGATTCTACTGCACGTACCAAATTCCCCACGAAGATGTGCAGTTTGTGCCAGGAAGCAGAGTGAATGATGGGATATGTGACTGTTGTGACGGCAGTGATGAGTGGAGCGGCCACAAGGTACCAAAGCACATGCACTTGACAGGTGAGTCATATCGGATTATTGGAAAGAATGTTACCAAGAAGTGTCTGGTAGGTTTGTATGGGATATATTACCCTGGTACATGTCCATCAGCTTCCAGAACACACACACTTGACAGGTGAGTCATATCGGATTATTGGAAAGAATGTTACCAAGAAGTGTCTGGTAGGGCTGGTATGGGATATATTACCCTGGTACCTGGCCACAAGGTTCCAGAACACATGCACTTGATGGGTGAGTTATAGTGGAAAGAATGTTACCAAGAAGTGTCTGGTAGGGCTGGTATGGGATATATTACCCTGGTACCTGGCCACAAGGTTCCAGAACACATGCACTTGATGGGTGAGTTATAGTGGAAAGAATGTTACCAAGAAGTGTCAGACAGGGCTGGTATGGGATATATTACCCTGGTACCTGGCCACAAGGTTCCAGAACACATGCACTTGATGGGTGAGTTATAGTGGAAAGAATGTTACCAAGAAGTGTCAGACAGGGCTGGTATGGGATATATTACCCTGGTACCTGGCTGTCAGCTTCCAGAACACATGCACTTGATGGGTGAGTTATAGTGGAAAGAATGTTACCAAGAAGTGTCTGGTAGGGCTGGTATGGAATATATTACCCTGGTACCCGGCTGTCAGCTTCCAGAACACATGCACTTGACAGGTGAGTCATATCGGATTATTGGAAAGAATGTTACCAAGAAGTGTCTGGTAGGGCTGGTATGGGATATACTACCCAGGGTGCCATTGTACAAAACAACCTTAGCGCTACGACTGTAGTAAGTCTATGTTATGGTATGGGAGTTACGATCACCTTAGCGCTAAGATCGCTTTGTACAACGCCACCCAGGTAAATGTGGTGGGACACAAGATTGGCCACCTGACTTTGTTAGCTGTGATCTGTCATGCAACATACCAGTATTGTAAACAGTACTCAAAATAACTGCTGGCTAATCATGTGTCATGTAATATTCTTTCTGTCCTGGTAATCTTTCATGTTTCCTATCCCATCCTTGTTTTTGCCCCTTAATGCCAAGCCAGGCAGTGTTACAACGTTTACAATCTTTTAGCATCCTTTGGTATGACATGGCCAGGGATCGTACCCCCGACCATCTATTCTCCGGGTGGACGCTCTACCACAAGACCACAGAGGCTGTCTCTGCAGATGCAGGTCTGATGTAGGTTAATGTAGAAGTTCACTGTAACATCTTCTTTTTACATAGACATGACTACAATGTCTAGACTGACTGGAAATATACAGACTCACTGATAGGCTGACATGTAGCTGACATACAGGCCTTGATGCCATTGAAATACTCCCAGTCTTACACCCAACTCACTCACATTGTCCCTTATAGAGGAATCTCAGGAGAAGCACGTCTACCAGTCTCCGTGTGGCAACCACTGTGAGAAGATTGTGCATCTCCGCGGCAAGGAGGAACAGATCAAGCACAAGGGACAGAGGCTGAGGAGGAAGTATGTCGACCTGGCCAAGTCACTTCCCGCATCGCAGAGACAGGTGGGCAATGACATGGTGCTACGTCACCATGGCACCTTCACACCAATGTCATGGTTGGAAAATATTTTCTTGCCAGTTATATTTTAAGCCATTTGTGGAGACCATGTTAATATTTGGCCAAACATAAATTATTGAATTTGGTTACCCAGCCCTGCCTAATGTTTGCTTGCCACCCATCATGTTATCTGAAATTATTGTGACCAATACACAAAGCCATCTTGGTTATCCTGGCACTAATTGGTACTAATTATTACTTATTAACCAAATGTTAGAGGCACTCTCTTTTCTACATTTGTCCAAATCAAACAGTGGGTTTTGAGATAATTGACACACATTTCAAAAGATTGCTTCCAAATTGTATCTCATTAACTTCCAAATTACAAATGAAAGTACAATGCTGTAATTACCATACAGGTTAAAGGGCAACTGCCCTTCAAGTTTTTAAGGTAAGTTTTTTAAAGCACAAAAATAACTTTCCACCATTCTGCCTGCGAGGGTAATCGTAATTCATCAAAGGGCAGCTACTCCAGTCCATCACATTTGTTTAGTCTGCCTGATTCGCTCATTACATTAACATGAGTGAGTGAGTGAGTGGGTTGGGTTTAAAGCCGCTTTTAACATTATTCCAGTTATATCACGGCGTGTCAGCTTAATGTGGGAGGAAAGCCCGAAGTGATGCAGGTCTCAGACGTTTACCACTTCGGTGAAACCCACGAGCACGGGTATGGTGCTGACAAACCTAGAAACATAATCGGGGCGAACCAGGATTCAAACCCACAATCATAGGTTTCTAGCGTGCCCAAGGGACGCAACTCTGCACAGCGAATCACGGCGCCTTAGACGACTGGGCCACCCGTGCCCCCTACATTGACATGAGGGAATGAAATGCAGTCAGAGTGACCAAATGAAACAACTGCTTTATTATTCATGGATCAGAGAAATGAAAAGATACAGTACAAAACTCGAACAAAATGTGATTGTTAACTATTTGAATGGTATTTTAATTGAATGTAGTCTCTGGTCACTGCAAACACCACCTACAAACTTCCCACTGTCCTATCTACTGACTCCTTGTCTGCTTGCAGGAGTATGGTCCGGAGGGGGTGTTCTACCAGCTGGCACAACAGTGTTTCGAGCACCATACCACAGAGTATGAGTACACTATCTGCCCCTTCTCATCCGTTACCCAGCAGAAGTTCCCCCACCCCCGCATCTCCCTGGGGAAGCGACCGAGGTGGGAGAAACAGAAGCCTGGAGACTATGTGCTGGTCATGGCAGAGGGGGACGCCAATCTCTGTCCATTGAATCATGCTAGAAAAACTAAGGTAGGATTGGGGGTAAATCAGACATTACAAAACAAAAAAGATAGGACATATTTGGGGGTTAGATAATGACAAGATAGTATAAATGACTTGATCGTTGCAGCTGTATCATGGTTTGGATGTAGATTCTCACACCAATAACAAGCAAGTAATGCACAAAATAAGCAGATGAACATATCACATGCTTCGTATGGGAACAATCAAACTTATATTTCATTTCTAAAATTGTTTTTTCTCAGTACATATTATTATCCTCTAAACTGATGTTTTCTATTTTCAGATCCATTTCTTCTGTGGTGTTAAGGATCATATTGTGAAGATGGTGGAAAAAGAACGATGTTCTTACTCTGCTACATTCAGCACTCCAGCTGCTTGCAGCTGACATAGAAATGGCATACCATAGTGTGAGCTGACTTACCATAGTGTGCAGCTGACCTACCATAGTGTGCAGCTGACCTACCATAGTGTGCAGCTGACATATCATAGTGTGCAGCTGACCTACCATAGTGTGCAGTTGACATTCCATAGTGTGCAGCTGACCTACCATAGTGTGCAGCTGACATACCATAGTGTGCAGCTGACATACCATAGTGTGCAGCTGACATATCATATTGTGCAGCTGACATACCATAGTGTGCAGCTGACCTACCATAGTGTGCAGCTGACCTACCATAGTGTGCAGCTGACCTACCATAGTGTGCAGCATACATACCATAGTGTGCAGCTGACCTACCATAGTGTGCAGCTGACATACCATAGCGTGCAGCTGACATACCATAGTGTGCAGCTGACATACCATAGCGTGCAGCTGACATACCATAGTGTGCAGCTGACATACCATAGTGTGCAGCTGACATACCATAGTGTGCAGCATACATACCATAGTGTGCAGCTGACCTACCATAGTGTGCAGCATACATACCATAGTGTGCAGCTGACCTACCATAATGTGCAGCTGACAAACCATAGTGTGCAGCTGACCTACCACAGTGTGCAGCTGACCTACCACAGTGTGCAGCTGACCTACCATAGTGTGCAGCTGACCTACCATAGTGTGCAGCTGACATATCATAGTGTGCAGCTGACATACCATAGTGTGCAGCTGACCTACCATAGTGTGCAGCACACATACCATAGTGTGCAGCTGACATATCATAGTGTGCAGCTGACATACCATAGTGTGCAGCTGACATACTATAGTGTGCAGCTGACATACCATAGTGTGCAGCTGACATATCATAGTGTGCAGCTGACATATCATAGTGTGCAGCTGACATACCATAGTGTGCAGTTGACATTCCATAGTGTGCAGCTGACATACCATAGTGTGCAGCTGACCTACCATAGTGTGCAGCACACATACCATAGTGTGCAGCTGACATATCATAGTGTGCAGCTGACATACCATAGTGTGCAGCTGACATACTATAGTGTGCAGCTGACATATCATAGTGTGCAGCTGACATATCATAGTGTGCAGCTGACATACCATAGTGTGCAGTTGACATTCCATAGTGTGCAGCTGACCTACCATAGTGTGCAGTTGACATTCCATAGTGTGCAGCTGACATATCATAGTGTGCAGTTGACATATCATAGTGTGCAGCTGACCTATCATAGTGTGCAGCTGACATGAAACAATGCTGACTTACCATATTTTGCAGCTGACATGAGACTATGTTGACCTAGGTTGTCAATAACAGATGTTCTTTGTATTCTTTCATATGCTAACAAACTTCGATTTTTGTGAGAGTATATTTTGGATCTTCTAAAGATGATATAATAATATTTTTATCAGTGTTTTTGTGCAACATGTATTCAGGATGACAGACTGTGTAAATATGTGTTTTATGTCCAGTCTTATCCAATAAGTTGGTCATTTTGCTTGAACTGGAGATAACTCTTACGAAACTTCTACCTCTATTACATCTCTAAAGGCACTACTTGTAATAAAGACAAGACACCCATGGCTACCTAGCTGACCGACCGACTAACCAATCATCCAGCCAGCCGTCCGTTAGAAGAAGGACCAGCCGTGCGCTGACCGGCCAGCCACTGGGTTACAATATGATTTTCATCAACCGGCAGCTTCCAAGCCAGCCGCACGGACCCCATGGGATTGTCCAGTCAACCGTTCTACCGACCCGTCAGCCACCGCACGGCTACCGTTACCCACGGACCATCGCAAGCCGCACAGGGATTAATGATACCGGAATCATGGACACCGGAGGAGGACCAATCCCTATGATTACCCAACCCCCACCCCATCCCTGAAGGTACCCAAGGTCACTCAGAGGCAGAGGCGGAGTACGAAGATCAGGCTGATGACTCATCCCAGCGGGACTACACCGAAAGTTACACCTTCGTAGAGCTAATAGATGAACTCTACCATCTTATGCCTGTACTCCAACCTCCTGTGACACAGAATGAGCCACCCCAGATGTCAGAATATGGGGGATGTCATGCTCCTACATCGTCTCAACATATCCATCGGACATTACCCTGGAAAAGTTGTAGACAACATGTCTGACAGTCTACTTAAGCCCAAGCATGATGAACAACTACCTTTCTAATCAGACCAAGAGGGTTAATAAAATCACAACCTATATCAGCAACCACAACATTCAACGGACAATTGGGCCACGTGATAGATGAAGTGAGACAAGACACTGCTGCAGAACGATTCCAAACTTCAACTATCAACTTAGCTGCTAAAGCCCACGGATCGTCAAAGCCTTAGAAACGTCCCAGGGACTACAAATCTTCATCTTCCAAACAGCCTCCTAAGAAGTTTGTCCCCTCCGGGAAGGATTCATTCCATCCGAGTCGGGGGTACAACAAGCGGTACGTCATAACCGGAAGTGAAATAATCGCCGGTATTTAAGGTCACAAATCCAATTTATAACGATCATGATCAGCAAATATAATGGTAAATCTAGTGAAAATATCACATATTTGACTGATTCTTGACACATTTCTGATTTTCATGTCCTCAAGGGGAATTTCAGAGGAAATTATCTCAGTAGGATTAGAATTAGTAAATAATGGTTTCCAGAAGAGGATTGCTGTCAATTACACAGGGAGTTACTAGATCCCTAGGGGGTCCCTCTGGTTTATTCTGGCAGATATGTAATAGAGGTAGAAGTTTTGTAAGAATTATCGAACAATAGTTCGGTTAATAATTCTAAGAATAATACCTCTATTACATCCGAAGTACTCCCTCCCCAATTTATCTACCTCTAGTAGTAGATGAGTGATAAATTTGATGTTGCAGCCATCATGACGTCATGGCTTGGGCAGTTACGAGACTACATGGGGACAACTAATTGTGTGATTGACAGTGTTCTGAAAATTTTAGTTATGGCAGGGATTGAGTAGAGGTAGTATTCTTAGAATTATTAACAATGATTACTATTGTTTGATATTTCATGATTTGTGCGTCTCATCTGTTGGTGTCAATAGGGTGTCATAAGCTCAGCACTCCATAAATAATGTTGTGATTTGTGGTCATTTTCTTCAGACAGACACAACAAAAAGTAATGTCATCCCACTGTTTGGTAATGACATGTCATCCCATTGTTTAGTATGGATGTCCTCCCATTGTTTGATAATTACGCCACTATGACATTATTACATATACTGAACAAAAAAGTCAGATCATGAATATTTTTGGGAATATTTTTTGTAGCGAAGACTGAGTTTCTTTGAATGTGTACTGTATATAGAAATATTTCATGATCTCTTTGTTTAGTTTATATATATTGTCACACTGACATTTTTTCAGTACACTTGTCCCGATGATCTGTTGGCATTGTACATATCAAATCAGATTAGATGTGTCAGTTATATGTTTTATGATACTCCAAAATAAAAAAAACAATCTCATTCAGATAAATTAAAATTAAATATATTTGCCCCAATACAATACCTCTCTGCATAGCGCATGAAGATCTGACAACCCCTTCATAAAAAGCTAGCTTCAGTTGAACTTTTAATAAGCCAGTCAGCACTGAGTCTTCTAAAGTTACATTTGCATGAACAAAGCATTCAGTGAAAACAAACTTCAACACCCAGTTCCGAATGTAAATAATAATGACTGTGCCATACTCTTGTAGTAGAGATTGTTTCCATCTTTATGTCACCCAGAGCATTTACACTCCTAAGGAGAGTACCATCGAAGACATATTTGTGATTTTGTTGGTTTCTTTTGTTAAAATAAAATTTTCTAAATCAAGGTGGTAAACAAATGGAGCAGAGTCATGTTAAAAAAGCTTACATCTGATTGGTTAAAGAACAAACGCATCCTTCATTATAACTGGGAGGTCAAAGTTTGATCAGGGTTAACCTGAAAAGATTAGCTGACAATATTTTATTTTTCTAAACTTATTCATATAGCCATGAGCTACTTAGCCTCTATTCTATTAGAGATTATTCAGTTAACTCAGTTTGACAAGGGTTATCTCCCTTTAACAGCTTGTCAAGTTGTGACAAGCATGTGAGGGTGAGATGTTGTGTTATGCTGTTTCAGAGAAAGGACATACATGTCCAAGAGTGTGCCTGCAGAATGATCTATATTTTGCGAGTCTTATATGAATAAGAATTTTGAAAATGGTAAATTAATGCTCTTGAAAATAGGTGAAACTTGCTTTCAATAATGGTGAGTTTGTCAAATTTTGGATAAATTTTAATCCAAATTTGACCTTTGTTTTTTATTTTTTCGCATTTATTTTTATGTTATTTTGTGAGATATGTAATTCTTGTTAACTGTACTTAAAACTGATATATGTTGTTTCTTCATAGATTGGTGAAGGTGTAAACAACAAGTCTCTCGGCAGTATGACTATTTACATCTGTTTGTTACTGGAAACTGATGTTTGTGTTACAGTGGACCTGTGTTATATCTGGCAGGGTGGTGTGGTATGAGTAGGGATCCTGTGGTAACAGAATAGCAATGGCTGGAGTAAGGATAGCAATGACAAGATGTAATTTGGGACAAGTCAATTCATACAGGGCGGTGGGTTTTTTCCAAGGTTTTTGTACTTAAAATGAACTGAGAAATAATCACCCTCTGCTGATGCTTGACATATTTTGGATGACCCTACCCATGACCTTGTACATTGTTTCATGACCTTCCCCAAATGACAAATATATATCTATATATTTTTTTTTAGAATGTTAATTTTTCGTGACCCTCCCAAATAAGTGTATTTTTTTATGACTCTGTCCTTGAGACTGTCATATTTTGCGGTGCCACTCCCCTGATATTTACGGGTTATTCCTCCCCTCTGACCCAACCACCCCCATAAATAAATGAGCAGTCCCTTAGATGTTATTTACGTGATTACCTGTCGGAAAATTGTAATGTATCACTGCTTCCATATGACACACAGGACTTCCAAAAACTAAGATGTGTCCATAGAAATATGAATGTCAAAATTGCACACCAAAGGATAAAATAGATGAATTATACAACGAATTTGTACACAAAACTGCTTGCGCAGTCTGTTGGACAAAGCAGTAAGAAAACATTGAAATGAATGTCATACTTTTTAGAGTGCTTGGTCTTTTTATTAATTTGTAACAATTAAATTTACATGTACGTTTGATAGTGTACATTCAGTGGAATGAATGGACCAGTGCTTGTAAGATTAACGTATTTGACGTAACAAGCGCCAAGGGTGCTCTCAAAATTAGAAAGAGGGGGCTCTTATTAGAATATAATTTTGTTGAGAAAAAAACCAGAGTGGAGACATCGTAAATTTTGTGGTTTATGCTGACAGCCTGAAATGATACAAGAGAAAAGTCTGTGCATATTTATACACGACAGATATATTTTCCAGAATTTAATTGCCCATAAATAAGAGTGCATATAACACACGAGTGTGTATTAATACAGTATTATATACAAATAAATAAGTGGACATTGATCAATCGGAAGGGGTGCTAATTGTGATCGTTCACTAGCCAATATATTAGCAAATATCGCCGTGGGCACTTATTAGAGCGGGGCACTTATTACGTCGACTACAGTAGTCAGGGTCAGCGGATATGTAGAGAATAACCATCGAGGTATAAGGTCTTATGGATTATCTGTTGTTAGTGAATGGTTGGTGTTAATCCCCAGCAGTCATTCTGAGAGACAGGTAATTCGTAATTCCCACTTGTGAGTAGGTTATTCTATACATAATGACATTTTAAGAGTGAAAATGAAGAAAAACATGTGAAATGTCTACCTTACAGAGAAACTTCACTGAAGGCAGTTTGTTATTCAGATGGCATAATGTGATCAATGTCTGACGTCATGAATAATGGATGAGAATCACATCATATGTTTTAATAATGAAGCAATGTGATGTCATATGGTTCAAGTGACCAATCAGCATTGAGAATTGCTAAAATGCACATGTGCAAAGGACAAGATCATCCTACGCTTAAGGGTATATGTTGTTGTATCTCCAAACTAAGATGTCATTGACCTATTATGCCTATATCATAGATATGACAAAACCTGGGAACAAGTGCCCCATTTCTGTATGATTAATTGAAAACCCCCTGAAGCCACCATGCAGAATCTGGTTAAGAATAAGTGCCAAGTAACCTATGCTGGCCATTAGAGGCGACTTAATGGATTGAGTGTTCAGACTCAAAAACTTGTTGATTGTGTGTTATTTTACCCCAATGACATGGACCATTGCTCATAATATCAATCACTGGATTGACTGGATTATTTACAGGCTGCCATCATGTAGCTGGAATACTGCTGAGTGCATCATTAACCAACAAACAAACAAGTTTTGATGTGTATGTAAGTGATGAATGACTTTGCTTTATAGTTGTTTCTTGTTTTTCTTCATAATTTGTTGTTATACATGTTTTGGGCAGGGAGATTCAGGTGGTGAATTATAGCTGCTCACTTATTTCTGTCATGTTTATCTGCTGTATGGCATTCCAATGTGGTACAATGCGGATGCACAGTGTTCCCTTGTTGTTGTGCTCTTCAATATAGTGCTAACACGGTTATAGTGCGCGGTAAAGCATTGCTCCCATATTTACTAACATTTTAAATAAAGATTTCCAATGACTTGATGTTTTCCCCCATCTCAGAAAACATTATCAGCTGATCACCGCGATCACGTAACAAATCTGAACTCAAGTACGCATTTTAATCCTATTATTATAATATCTGGTTATAAAAAAATTGTTCATTGTTTAGCTGGACTTATGTTTTATTCAAAATTTCATTCAATAATTATAATAATGTTTAAAATAATTTTGGTGAAATCGTATGTGAAGTGCTCGGTATATTGACAACTCACCGTTATTTACAACAACCATGGTCAGATTACCACTATAGATGCCTTGAAACAAACTCCCGGAGAAGCGGAAAGTCAGTGTATTGATCTCCTGGTCACATTATACCAAAAGATGTTAAACAATGGTACTTGTTGTTACCCTGCTGCCTGAGTGGCGTATCCATCTTTAACATATGTATGTGGGCTGGCGATATAACATCGACATAAGCATGTTGCTATATACGTGAAATAATCTTTAATGCAACATTGAAATCCATTTTACCTCCCTTTTATTCAGTAGTCATCAAGTCTACTTATGTACGCTAATACCACTAGAAGTCTAGTTATGTACGCTAATACCACTAGAACGGTGTAAATGTTTTGAACCTTTGCAAACCTTAACTATGAATCCATAATTTGGCCCAAACTAAACAATATTTACATATTGTATTCATGTATATTCCTTGTGAGCACAAGATCCCAAGCAAGAGAGTAAATCTATGCAAGATGACATTCCACTACACCAGTATTGTTCTCATATTCTACACACAAAAAGTTCAGATCACCTGATTCTTTAATATTACTATCAGGTGATCCTTAACCTGTTTTATGACCAGTTTATGTTCTTGTTGTATGGATAAGTCTATCCTAAAACTGGGGGCACGGCTGCAATACTGTTAAAAGTGGTGTTAAACCCAACTAACTCACTCACTCACTATCCTAAAACTTGCAAAGGATAGAAAGTATCTATGGCTCTTGATTGAAAATATGCATTTTTCCTACATTTTGCTTTTATTTTTGTTACATTTTTAAAATTCTTTTTTAATGAAATTTAACTCACAATATAGCTTATTTTGTCCTGCCTTGTGTCATATTGACCATGAAATCTGTGAAACAAGAATATAAACTGGTGTGATCTATAGTAGATATTAATACAGATATTGATATGGTTGTTACTGAACAGGGAGTTAATATGGACCAAATAGTGATTCACAATTCTGGACCAAAGATTAAAGTGATTCTCAATTGTGTGTTAGATTAAATATATTTTCATTTCTCTGATTTTTTTGCTGTTATTGACCGAAATTATTCTGTTGACAAAATAATGGAAATTTCTTGATCTTTGAATATCAGCATGATTCTATATTAATGAAACTGGAAACAGAATATCTATCTCAAGCCTTATATATATCCTCGTACATGTATGTTGATGGTTACGAGGTTGTGGGACTTATTGTCTGTTACAGTGTGGTTGTGAAACATGATTTTAATAAAGAACAAGATCTTTAAATGTGATTATCTCATCTGTTTGTTGCAGACTTCGTGGGGAAGCACTAAGTTTGTTTGATGGAAACATATAAGTTGTAGCAGAATCATGAGGGGTATATGGGGTTTTATGCATTCCTTGTTTAAGGTTTTATGCCAAAAGCCGGAGGCGGGTGGTATAAAGCCTAACGCAGGACGCAAAAAAAACCATGTACCCCGAGTGAGGCTTGTGGCATAAAACCTAACGAGGAACGCATAAAACCCCCTGTACCCCTCGTGACCCTGCTGCAATGAATTTATCTTACCAACATGTTTTAATGTGACATTGTAAAAGAATAAACAAAAATTCAAACTTGTTAGAAAACAGCTGTTCGATTGAGCTGAGTTTAACTTGTGCTATGTCACATTAATTCCATTGACTCAGAAAAACATGCATCTTTTTGCTTTGAAGCCGGGCATAAGGGATTTATTTTGTCTCTCAGAAATCCATGTGCAGTCTCTATTGCTCGTGGCGGGGTGTAGGAGATTTATTTCCCTGCTTAGAAATTTATTACCCTCCAAGGCGGGTTACACAGTATTTTATCAAGATCACGTGGACCAATCAGATCTCATCATTCTGACATGGAGGTATGATAAGAGGAATTATCTATTTGGCTGACAATAATTTTGAGTTACTATATTCCTCGAAATGTGTGTTTTGATCTGAAATGTTTCATTTCCTAAATATCATCCCACAGGAAGACCCTAGGAAACCAGCATGTGTGTGTTATCAATGCTGCCTTCAACAATATTCCAGTGAGAGCAGGGGTGGTGGGGTAGAATTTTCTGGTCAAGCTGAAGGTCCAGGTTCAATTGCCCACATGGGTACAATGTGTGAAGCCCATTTCTGGTGTCCCCAGCTGATGTTGCTCAAATATTGCTGAAAGTGGTGTAAAACTATACTCACTCACTCTGGCAAGAGCACAGCAGATTAGAAGGGGACAGTGGGCCAGGGTGGTTCTGTCATCTAAGGTTCTGTGCATATATGGCATTCCTTATGTGTGTCAGAAACCTGTGATCGTTGGTTTGAATCCCAGATTCGCCTGATTATATTTCTAGGTTTGTCAGCACCATACCCGTGCTTGTGGGTTTCATGAAAGTGGTGAAAGACCTGCATCACTATAACTGAAATACATTTCATTTGGTGTTAAACCAAACACACTGGCAGTTGACACCACATTGCAGACTTTGTGCCCGCAGCATGAATTTCGGACATCAGTGGGATCAGCCAATACTCAAGTTCCTGCGGTCATCTTCAGAGAGGCCAGAATGCAGCTGCATGTGTCACCACCACACCAAGACGTTCTCAGCACCTAACACTGGTGCTGAGACAACTCCCCTGACTGCCTACAGTGTGGAACAGAGGACTTGCTCCACCATACTGTCTCCAACCTACTCCCTCACTCCACTCACCAGTTTATGTGAAGGAGTTTCTCAAAGCATTGCAGTCATTATTATCAGAAAATCACAGCAACTTTCTGTGCCCAAGGTCATTGTCAGCTGCAGATTTAAGCTTTGGAACTCAATCTCTGGAGACCTCAAATGTGCCCAAACAGCTGAATATTTCTGCAGTCTTCTTGAAACTTCTGTATTAAATCTGTCCTATATTGTTTCCCATGTCAAGTGCTGCTGAGCAGATTTTCAGGCCAGACTAAGTTTAACTTGGTTTACAAATCTGCTAATTCATAGAAATTGAAATGTGAAAAATTTAATAAAACTAAAGGCATTGAGTGTTATTCCACCAACCATAAATAAGTAAACAAACCCTTTTACTGTTGCTATCAACACAATACAGAAATTATTTAAAATACTATAATCAAATCATGTTGAAAATTTAGGATAAAAATTTCCACCCCTGCTTTTTTTAGAAAAAGTTTAATAATATTTAGAGGAAATAAGAAAACCCTCCATATTTTTTCAACCTATAGACCAGAATCTTAGGCCCAAAAATCTGTAGCCCCCAAAATAAGTCTGACCATATTATACTGTATATGGTAAGCTGGAACCACTGGGTTACCACACCACCTCTGGAGAACCAGTAAAATTGCCAGGGTAGTTTCTGCAATGGGTATCAGGTGGACATAATGGTGGATGGAATGTCTACCCACTTGTCTCAACATGAGGATTCTGAGGTAGAACTCATGTTTTGTCACCCAGGGCAGTTTAGATCCCCAGCACCCAATGCTATCTCGACATGGGGATTTCAGGGCAGACTAAATCCCCAGCACCCAATGCTGTCTCAACATGGGGATTTCAGGGCAGACTAAATCCCCAGCACCCAATGCTATCTCGACATTGGGATTTCAGGGCAGACTAAATCCCCGGCACCCAATGCTGTCTCAACATGGGGATTTCAGGGCAGACTAAATCCCCAGCACCCAATGCTATCTCGACATGGGGATTTCAGGGCAGACTAAATCCCCAGCACCCAATGCTATCTCGACATGGGGATTTCAGGGCAGACTAAATCCCCAGCACCCAATGCTATCTCGACATGGGGATTCCGGGGCAGACTCAATCCCCAGCACCTAATGCTATCTCGACATGAGGATTTCAGAGCACACTAAATCCCCAGCACCCAATGCTTGTCTCAACATGAGGATGCCAGGGTAGTCCCCAGCACCTAATGCTATCTCAACATGAGGATGCCAGGGTAGTCCCCAGCACCTAATGCTATCTCAACATGAGGATGCCAGGGTAGTCCCCAGCACCCAATGCTATCTCGACATGAGGATTTCAGGGCAGTCCCCAGCACCCAAAGCTATCTCGACATGAGGATGCCAGGGTAGTCCCCAGCACCCAATGCTTGTCTCAACATGAGGATGCCAGGGTAGTCCCCAGCACCCAATGCTATCTTGACATGGGGATTTCGTAAGAGTCATCCAAGATAGGAATGTATTGCCTTGGTGAACATACCCCGACTCACTGTCCTGATGTTATCAATCACTGGTTTGTCTGGCCCCAATAACAGTCCATCATGTTATAGCTGTCTTTTAAGTCTAGGTCACATCTATGTCTGCAGTATGACTGACAAAACAACAGTGAAATAAAAGATGAAGGTCAGGCAACTTTATTTACTTATCACAGTATTTGAGGCACGAACCTTTATTCACATACGTCTTACATAATTGCAAGTATCACAGAGACAAAGATGAATGCATTGCACAGCAGAACAAGAAAAACAGGGTTAGAAACATATATATATATAGATACACTAAAGTCCATCTATCCCTAAAACGAATGAACATCGGTCAATGAAGGATAACTCACAAGTACCAGTGGAAATTCTCTACAAATAATGTACAAGCAAGCAAAGCTGGTGAGTATAGAATTTGTAACAAATGTCTAGTTATGAGTGTGTTATCTGACTTAAATACATCCAAGTAACAAAATACTGCATAATCAGATTTAAAATACTGCCTGAAAATTATAATAAGTACAACAAACATATGTGGCATGGGCATTTCATGTAGTGCATTCATAATACATGAGAATCTTTAACTTGATGCTTCGATATCTGTGCTGCATTTGATCTAGCCTGTATATTCATACCGCACATGATTAGGCTTAAAAAAATAAAGGAATTGGTTCTCAGGCAATGACTTTTGAAAATATAGTGCTTGCTTTTGCTTGTTCAAACTAGTATGTAACCATATAAACAGTTGTGTACCATCAACCTAGGAAAGGGCCTTCCTACATAGGCAAGTTTACAAACTCCTATTGCCACCATGACCATAACGTGAGATGCACAGTAAAGGGAAGTAACTGTGTAAGTTTTTGGGAAAATGGAAATAAAAACAAAACGTGCGGGTGACTTTATGATGATGCGGGTGGTGCCTGAGAACCAAGACTATTATTTCTTTTAGCCTTAGAAACAATGCAGGGGCTTAAAATGTGCATTGCAGAAAGTAGGTCAGTAAACTGTCCATTCGTTACTGATAATCTACAGTTTAAACAATAGGGTGACATAGGTTGTATTTTAAATGCAGAAAGATGGTATGTGGTCAGAAACATATGTATAGATACACTAAAGTCCAGTCCCTCCTCCATGGATGAACAGATCTACATTGGTCAATGAAGAAGAATGATGGCAGGTGCTTGTAGGTGATCTAATCTACATCTGGGTGACAAGCGATGAGTCCACAGAAAGATGTGAATCAGGATCCTTGCATCTTCAGCACTGAGATTACTTTAGTGCACTCTCTACTTCAACAGTATTATAAGTTACACCTGTATCATGGAGGGATTCAAACCCATGCCTTCTGGATCCTATCACAGCTAAACTGGACCAGCTGGCCACTTGGGCCCCTTTGATATAAGAGTATTTCGGGCGAGTTCATAGGGTAGGGTGCTGATGTCATCATTTACAGATTATTTACATTGAATATTGATTTGGTTGCCGTAGCTACAGCATCACATGGTGTGTTCCACACAGAGAGGGTCTTGCACGATGCGCTGGTGGATCTCGATGAAGAGCGGTATGTACGTCACAAAGTCCATGAAGTCAAACATCCCCTTTCCCTCACGGTTGAACTTGCTCAGGACCTGTCACATTCCAAGAAATTGCTGTCAGAACTCAGAGATGTAAAATACATGGAACCCAATGTACCTATTGGCTGTAGTATTGTGAATATGTGTCACTAGTGAGTGAGTTTTACGCCGCTTTTAGTACTATCCCAGCAATATCACGGCGGGGGGACACCAGAAATGGGCTTCACACATTGTACCCATGTGGGGAATTGAACCTGGGTCTTCGGGGTGATGAGTGAATGCTTTAACCACCAGGCTTCCCCACCTGGTCACTAGTAGGTAAACATTAACATCAATATGTACCTACAGACTACAGTATATAAAACATATTTCTGGCTATTACATACCCATTAGTGGCCATAACTCAGCCAGAATGTAATGACGTTTCAAATCATTTTGTCCCCATTATTTATACTTAAAAGAAATGAATATCAAGGCAGACAGCAACTTTTGTTTTATAGCTATCTTTGTTGACGTGCAAACCATTGACTCTATAGGTGAGCTACAGTACATTGAATACAGTAGTGGTATGCTTACATAGCTGATGTGTTCTGGCCTCAGACCTCCAGCAGTCAGCTCCAGTGCCAGGGTGGAGGCAGGAGCTCCCCCAGCAGGAGTACTGATGTCATCATCCTTCAGCAGGCTGAACAACTCCTGCAATATCGCAGGCAGTTGTTGGTGAGTGAGTGAGTGAGTGAGTGAGTGAGCGATGTGAACGTTACTGTTTAGAGCAACATCGCAAGAAGTTGGTGGTGAGTGAGTGGGTGGGTGAGTGAGTGACTGAGCGGTGTGGATGTTAGTGTTTAGAGCAACATCGCAAGCAGTTGGTGGTGAGTGAGTGAGTGAGCGAACGTTACTGTTTAGAGCAACATAGCAAGCAGTTGGTGGTGAGTGAGTGAGTGAGAGAGCGTTGTGGACGTTAGTGTTAAGAGCAACATTGCAAGCAGTTGGTGGTGAGTGAGTGAGTGGGTGAGTGAGTGAGTGAGCGGTGTGGACGTTAGTGTTTAGAGCAACATCACAAGCAGTTGGTGAGTGAGTGAGTGGGTGAGTGAGTGAGTGAGCAGTATGGATGTTAGTGTTTAGAGCAACATCACAAGCAGTTGGTGAGTGAGTGGGTGAGTGAGTGAGTGAGCGGTATGGATGTTAGTGTTTAGAGCAACATCGCAAGCAGTTGGTGAGTGAGTGAGTGGGTGAGTGAGTGAGTGAGCGGTATGGACGTTAGTGTTTAGAGCAACATCGCAAGCAGTTGGTGAGTGAGTGAGTGGGTGAGTGAGTGAGTGAGCGGTGTGGACATTAGTGTTTAGAGCAACATCACAAGCAGTTGGTTGTGAGTGAGTGAGTGAGTGAGTGAGCGGTGTGGATGTTAGTGTTTAGAGCAACATCGCAAGCAGTAGGTGAGTGGGTGAGTGAGTGAGTGAGCAGTATGGATGTTAGTGTTTAGAGCAACATCACAAGCAGTTGGTGAGTGAGTGAGTGAGTGAGTGAGTGAGTGAGTGAGTGAGTGAGTGGTGTGTGTTTAGAGCAACAGTACATCCAAGCTGGATACTGCTTGCACTGATCTCATTTATGATCACTTCCAATTAACTAATGCTTAAGACAATTCATAGCCCTGAAAACCTTTAGATTTGAAGATTGTTAACTAAACGACTTTAAATTGGATGGTTGGAGTTTAAGAAGGCCTCGTTCTGAATTCCAGATATTCACTGTCATCTTTTCTTTCTGATCTGATCGTATGTCACAGAAGCGGGAAAGTTGAATCAAGAGATTAATGAAAAATTGATCATGTTAAATGACAGCATCATGTACCAAGTGTTATATACGATGTATCCTTAAGACTCTTTACATATACCAGTATTATGAGACCACCTCCGTGGTCTAGCGGTAGAGCTTCCACCCCGAGAGAGGGAGGTCCAGGGTTTGATCCCCAGCCGTGCCATACCAAAAGACATTGAAGTATGCTACTTGTTGATACCCTGTCTGGCGCTCATAATTAAGGGGCTAAAACAAGGACTGGTCGGCTCGGAGTCAGTATACTGTGTCTGAGTGGGGTATTCATGTTCAACTGCGGCATGGTATCTCAGTCGGCTTGCGATATAAATCAGCATCAGTCCGGACTAGTACAAGCAGCCACACACACGTACATGCACGTCACTATATGTGGGTAAGAGCATTAATCTTAGACTCGACGTTAAACCCCATTTCATCCCACCTCACCTTACATATATTATGTTGTGTCACTCAATCATGCAAAGAGTGTGGCAAAATACACAAGCCACCTGGGCTACCATTTCATTTCCTTTTACAGGTCTTTACACACATCTACTAGCCTCGGACAACCATAATAGCATGTTGACCCAGCCATGTTGAATTTGCCGTGGTTTTTGTTCCCTTGAAAGTGAGTTCAAGTGACTTGTTTCCACACATAATTCATTATTCACTTGTTACGTTTGTAGGCCAATGCATTAGAGATAATACCTTGCACTTTTCCATCTTGACGTCCAGGGCATTGTAGTCAAATTTGTTGAGCAGGTTCCTCAATACCGGACTGAAAGAGGGACAACAATATCCTGTAGTTGTTTGGACCTTTTGGTGGTGGGTGTGTGAATACTGAACTATCATGACACTATCTCAGTCATATAATGGTTTACAGAAGAAGCCTGGCAAGATTCATGTGTCTAGCACAATTCAGAAACTTACACAAGGGTATGGTCTTGACAGACCGAGGCTATGAATCAGGGTGAATGGGCTTTGGAACCCATAACTAGTGGATTGTAGCAACTAGGGGACATAACTCTACATTGCTAAAGTCCTGGCAAGAGCACTGTGTAGTGCAAAACTGATTTGCACACACATAAATATATTATCAATTGACAAAATATAGCTGAAGTATTTGTCAGGCCACTGGTGCAAAACTGATTTGTACACACATAAAGATATTATCAAATGACAAAAGTTGCAAGCAGAACTCACTCCATCTGTGTGACCTTCTCTGACAGCGCTGCTATCACCGAAAACAAGCGGAAATTTATCTTGGACCTCCCAGGCAAGTCCAGAATCTGAATACAATAATCAATGCAAGCCATTAGTCACACATCACCTTTGTCATCATATAATCTACATAAAAAAAATACATCTAATGCTGAAATATGAAATCATTGTTCTTTGCCCCAAACAACAAAGTACTAAAACCTCACAATGTCTTATTTATTTTTTTATGATTCTATTCTTTAGCCAAATGTACTGGACATACTTGTAGTTAGCAAGGTGCCTAGTGCACAGATCTGATTTGTAGCTGATACACTGACTTTTCTTTAAACTATTATTTGAGCTAATACTTTGCAAACATCAAAGTAGATTCTTGTTGTGAATGATTTAATAGTGGTAGTTTATTTGCCATGGACCAAAATACACTTAAAGATGGTACTTGTTGTTACCCTGTCTGGCATTCAGCATCAAGGGGATAAAACAAGGACTGAATTTCTTCCTTGGCCGAAATCCAAGTGCTACAAATTCTTGAAACATTTTTATTGTAACTAAGGTCTATCCTAGACACATTGTTGAAACATTATGTGAGTGAGTGGGTGAGTTTAATGTCGCTGTATACAGTGATACCGTGGCGTGTCAGCTGAAGTGATGCAGGTTTCAGATGTTTATACGGTTTGGGAGAAACCCATGGATGTGATAACAAACGTTAAAATGTTTTGATGCCATGATCATAGGTTTCTGGCATGCCAAAGGGATGGAACCCTTCACAGTGAATTGTAGCACCTTAGACAATTGGGCCACCCGAGCCCCTGAAGTGTATGAACTGTATGCAGCTGTATGAACCTACGAAGTAGAGGTACTTGAACTCCTGGTCTGTCAGCAGGTGGTTGTTGATCTGCTGCAGGGCCTCTTCCACCAGCTCCAGGTTCATCTCGTAGTCCTGGCAACACCCACAGGGAACAGAGTCATGGAAGGTTGGTTGGTTGGTTTGTTGTTTAACGCCGCACTCAGCAATATTCCAGCTATATGATGGCGGTCTGTAAATAATCGAGTCTGGACCAGACAATCCAGTGATTAATATCATGAACATCGATCCACGCAATTGGGATCGATGACATGCATCAACCAAGTCAGCGAGCCTGACCACCCGATCCTGTTTGTCGCCTTTTACGACAAGCACAGTCACTTTTTACCGCAAGCATAGGTTGCTGAAGACCTATTCTACCCTGGAGTCTTCACGGGTCGAGTCATGGAAGGGGGAAAGACAGACAGAGGGGGTCAAGGAAGCTGTTCGAGTGGGCGTTTTATGTAAAAAGAAATTTCTCGTTTATTTTACATACACATAGAAAGGTCCATCTTCCCTTTGCTTTAGTTTTACAACCAGGCTACAGGCCTGGCTCAGACAAACCAGTAATCAGTTGAGTGAGTGACCACCGTTTAACACCCCTTTAATAGGATAAAACATAACACTTGTACATCATCACCATGTCACTGAAGAGGTCCATATTCAGATTTTCATTCAGTGCATAAATAAAACAGAAAAAAAAGATAAAAAATATACTTTCAGATTTTTAAACAGTTATGCATAATTTCGCTCTCGTCAAGTCATATGTATCATTAGAAAGATTCATGAAATACACAACCTACCGGGTCTGGATGGAGCTTATTGTATAGCTGACTCTGCTGTCTACGGAATCCTGATGACCTCTGGTTGTCTGCCTGGCTGGTGAAGAACACTTCATTACTGAGGATGTCCAGGAGGAGCTTCTCACCTGGGGACACAGGTGAATGTGGATTTATTGCAGGAGGGGATGCAGAGTATCACTGGAGGGGATGCACACTTATAGGTGGAGAGAATGCATAGTAATCACTGGAGGGGATGCAGGGAGATATACAGGACTGTCAGTAGTTTACCCTAGTTTACAATGTGATACAGAGGCAGTGCCTACCTTCCAGCTGCTGAAGGCGGTTGTGGACATCATGGATCTTCTCCCTGGTCCTCTCCCCCTCCAGGTTCAGCTGACGGACCTCCGGATCAGAACTCAACTGGACACAAAACACCACACTGCATCAGCAGGTTTATCATCTTACAGCAGCAGCAGGTTTGTTATCTTACAGTAGCAGCAGGTTTATCATCTTACAGCAGCAGGTGTATCATCTGACAGTAGCAGCAGCTTTGTTATCTTACCAATCTCATTAAAATCAGATCTAAGTTCACGCTGCCGCCAGACAAAGATCTGAGGACACCCCATTATGTGTCACGTCAGAACGACCTTTCGCGAACTTTGACCGACCACTGAAATGACTAACAAGAAGTTGATATCAGCCAATTAGAAAGCAGCTTTCTCGAGCTATACGGCACTGGTTTCAACCTGGCGACTTCCATTTCAGACTACACTTGACACTGTTCTCGATTAAAATTTTGAAAACAGTAGCAGCAGATTTATTATCCCACAGTAGCAGCAGGTTTATCATCCTACAGTAGCAGCAGGTTTATCATCCTACAGTAGCAGCAGATTTATTATCCTACAGTAGCAGCAGATTTATCATCCTACATTTGCAGCAGGTTTATCATCCTACAGTAGCAGCAGATTTTTTTATCCTACAGTAGCAGCAGATTTATCATCCTACATTTGCAGCAGGTTTATCATCCTACAGTAGCAGCAGATTTATCATCCTACATTTGCAGCAGGTTTATCATCCTACAGTAGCAACAGATTTATCATCCTACATTTGCAGCAGGTTTATCATCCTACAGTAGCAGCAGATTTATTATCCTACAGTAGCAGCAGATTTGTTATCCTACAGTAGCAGCAGATTTATAATCCTACAGTAGCAGCAGGTTTGTTATCCTACAGTAGCAGCAGCTTTATTATCCTACAGGAGCAGCAGGTTTATTATCCTACAGTAGCAGCAGGTTTATAATATTACGGTAGCAGCCGGATTAAACTCATACAGTAGCAACAGATTATTTTTATCCTACAGATTATGTGTATTTGACTCTTGAATATAGTTCTGGGAAATAATGACAAGATGTCCCTAACTTCTAAAGAAGTTGACATCCATGAATTCTCTTCCTTATGTAAATCATCAGTTTGCCAGGTATTTGGCCAACCTGTCTTACACACCACACATGAGAGAACTTGCTAACTATTGTGATTTGTATTGGACCGCGCAGTTGGTGTATCATCCCAACCTAGACTGTTTATGTGCATGTTTTGTAACGTTTCACTCAAAACTAACAACAGAGTACCGGTAACATTGTACATTTCCTACATCTATTTCTCCAGTGAGTGCCTGTCAGAACATACAAGAAACAAGCAGCACGCACCATAGTGAGCTGGGCATCAGTCAGTCTCTCCACAATCACCTCATCCGGAATTGGTTCCCCTCGGCGCCGCGGTGTTACCATCTCCATCTCCTTGTCTTTTTTAGATTTCTATAGGCAAGATGTGCAGTTCAATTATAAGTTACCCCTTCTAATTGGTTTACAGGTCTGTCAGCGATCAAACTTAAATCACAATGAAATGATTATTATTCTTTGAGTGATCTTGTTATGGTATTGTTTATGGTGAAATATAAATAAGAAATATAGAACAAAAAGTTGTTTTAAAAGAAAAAAAAAGGCAAAGAGTTACTTCCCTTCTATCTACATTCTTTAAAGGTTAATTCACTAAAAGACTTAAAATGAGACTTTCCTCAAAATACTAATTATATTTGTCTTGTGAAATTTTTGGTAATTGTATCTGTTAATCAATTCACTATAATATAAGTTAATGACTTACTACAGCCTTCAAAATTTGACTTATTAAAGACCAGCCCAGGGGACTAGTGGAAACAATATTTCACTGATCCTGCTTGAACGAGACAAAACTGTTTGCTGTGTATACAGACAGTTTTTTTCCAGCTATTTCAGTGGCAAAACTGAAGCAATTAGAACTGGTTCAGACCTATAGCCCTAGAATGCTGCCAGTCTATATGCTCCAGTGGGTAGTAGTCTGGAGCTCAGGCAATGGAGAAAAGTGAGTGAGTGAGTTTGGTTTTATGCCGCTTTTAGCAATATTCCAGCAATATCAAGGCGGGGGACACCAGAAATGGGCTTCACACATTGTACCCATGTCGGAAATCGAACCTGGGTCCTCGATGTGACGAGCGAAATTGACACAGTTGCTGCCCATGTTGCCACCTCCACCAAAAGCACTCCAACCCATCTGCCCGGAGCCGAATCCTCCTCCTCATTGGACTTTTAATTATCTTCAGCACAATTTAGTAGTCTTGAGCTAGAGGACTAGCATGGATTTTGAAGGCTGTTATGTCAGTGTTATCATTATTTTAGTGGGTCAGCTGGCAATGCTTACCTTCCCTTTCTTCCCCTTCTTCTTGTCTGGGGGTATGTAATCGTGGGCACACACGTCTGGGAGCAGGGTCCTGGTGCTCTCCGCCAGCGTCGACACTCGCCGCACTGCACAAGCATGGATCAACAGATTCTGTGATGTAAGACTGACATAGGGTACAGTACTAGACTTGATTAATGATTTTACATGGCTGAAGTTGGGTTCTGTAAATTTCAAACAGCCTTTTCCAGCAAACAATTTTTTCAACATGGTTTCTGAAATAACAAAATGTAAATTCACAAACTAGCACTAGCAGTTCACATTCCTGTCATAATTTAGGCATGGAATAATATAATCCTGAAAAAGTCCCTGTTTATCTAAAATACTTTCAGGCATGAAACAACAGCATTCTTACAGGTGTTGGAAACCTTTTAGGGGTCAAACTTCATTGCAATCTCTTAAATAAAAAATAGTCTATATAATAAAGACATATCAGGAAAATAGAGCAAGTAAATGTTGTTTTACTCCACAGTTAGCAATATATAAACTAGTCTAAGAGAGCAGGACTAATGAACCAAGCTGTTAGGAACAATGACACAGCAGGAGTGAGTGAGTGAGTGAGTATGGTTTTACGCCGCTTTTAGCAATATTCCAGCAATATCACGGCGGGGACACCAGAAAATGGGCTTCACACATTGTACCCATGTCGGGATTCGAACCCGGGTCTTCGGTGTGACGAGCGAACGCTTTAACTACTAGGCTACCCGACCGCCCTGACGCAGCAGGAAGTGATCACAAGGTGTCACTTTCATATTGCAAAGGCATATTATTCCATGCTGTAGTTGTGGTTACACTGACTGTCTAATTGCGTGAGCTGAGTCTCCAGTCCCCTGGCCTTCTCCTGCAGAGTCTCCAGCGTGTACACAATCTTCTCGCGGTACTCCTCGGGGGCATTCTGTCCCTGCACAATGTTCAACACACAACTTCATTCCAAACATTTCCTCAACCCTCCAACATAGCATTGTTGTTGAGTATGGTTTTACGCCGCTTTTAACAATATTCCAGCAATATCACGGCGGGGGACACAAGAAATGGGCTTCACACATTGTACCCATGTCGGGAACTGAACCCGGGTCTTCAGCGTGATGAGCAAACGCTTTAACCACCCCCCAACATAGCAAAATAGCGGTCAACATTTTTTAGCCTTCCTTTATTTGAAAATATATGTCTTTAACATGTCTTAGCTTGTAAAAACAGTTAGTAGCACTTTATGCTTTCTCTATGATATTCTAATACAATCTAGTTAACTTTAGGTTTGGTACAGACAAATTTGGATCATAATCAGGACCAAGTCTGAACCAGAAAAATCAGTGATTGATTAGAAGCAACAATCAATGCCACCAGGGTACAGTGGCACGCAATTAACCAAGTCACAGAGCCTGACCTGACCTGATCCATTTAGTCATCTCTTACAACAAGCTTAGGTTGATGGGGACCTATTCTAACCTCAAATCCCCATGGGGCCCAGATAGCTGATGAACACAACATGGCACACAAGTCACAAGCTGTCCACTGACCGATGACCACTGACCTACTATCATCAACCAATTTGTAGGCCCGTGACCACAGGTTTGGTGCAGACAAACCAAGATCAATCGGAGTGAATCTGAGATTCTTTAAGATAAGCAGATCCTGGCAGTTAAGGGCCATAACTCTTGACTACAGGTTCTGTTTTCCCCTGACAGGAAGGTATCACTAAACTCACGATGCTGCTTGTGATGCCCTGTCTGTGGTTGATGAGCAGCATGTCCCGTGCCAGCTTCAGTTCATGTTCAGACAAACCCTCCTCCTCCGACTTCTTTGAAGACTTCTTGCCCTTGGTCTTGACCTTGTCCTTGTCCTTGTCCTTGACCCCCTCTGTGACCTCTCTTTCCACTGGTTCACTTGCTGCTTGCAGGAGCTCATACCTTGGTGTCTGGTCGGTTACCATGTTCTCAAAGATGACCTCATAGAATGGCAGGCGGTTGGGACTGGTGAGAAACATAGGGATATACTTTAAAAGATGCAAGACCAGATTCCAATTTTTTGTGGAACAACAAATTCCATAATATGAGGTGCTTTACACCACCCTGAGCAAATATATCAGATGTTCAACCAGACAGAAACAAACTCTGTAGGAAGAATTTCTCATAAAGATAATGCAGCAAATATCCTGCCATGTACCCGTCTGTGTAAGAAGGGTAATGTATGACACACTGAAACATCCTCAGAGCAGTGATGAGGGTGGTGTACTTGGCAAGGAATTAAATATACTTTGCAGTCAATAATCAGTCCAATTCAAATTGAGTGTTTTTACAGATCATATGAGACATTTATTGGTATGATATTGCACACAATTTTACGGGCTTTTTTCTCTTTTAAATAGCCATGGTCCTTGATCGCAAGACCAGTCCTGATGAGGAGTATGAAAGAGGGAAATACATGCTTCATGAAGTGTTAGTTATGAACATACTTGATAATGCAGTATTTGGCAAGGAAGTCAAGTGGATCACTGACTTCCTGAAGTGCACCAGCCGACATTGGGGCTTCAGCGGGCCGTGACTTTTTACGATAGTGCATCTTGGGCCTGAAAGACAGAGTGAGTCACATTTAACAGTTTTGGCTATACACATGTACAATGTCATTTGCTGTATTTATTGCTAGAAATCAAAATATATTTTACCCTATTACACAAAGAATGCATGCCCAGAAACTCCATCTACTGGAATAAAGATATTATTTGGTCCTAATGAACTAGAAATTGATTCGATTAACCAGGAATTTGTTCACAACCATAGGTCAGTGTTTGAGACAGTCGGGCAGGTGGCCCATAAGTGTTGCCTGCCCATCTTCAAAGTTACCTGCCTGCATTTAGACTATAAATATTCAAACATATTGAGTTGAAATACAAGTTGAAATGATGTGAACAATTACCAGAGTTATAATAAAACTGAATATGTAAGTAGTTTTAAAATTATCTGCCAGACAGTCTGGCAGGTGTAGGAAGTTTCATGCAGCCTGACATGGCAGGCGGCCAGGCAGCTATTTCGGATACTGATCCAGGTGTCTGAATAGTCAGGCTATATGTTTTGTTCTGCAGCTGAAGGCTCTGAAAAATCTTGTGTTGCTGTTTTTTAGACATGGGGCAAGATACACGCGGACATTTCAAAGGTAAAGGATTGTTGAATGGGAAAAATGAATATGGTTGCTTTAATGTTGTGCAGCACTCACAGTTTTCTGACTTTCGGGGCAGCTTTCCTCTTCTTCGGGGGAGCCTTCATCTCAGGGGGTCCCTCGACGAAGAACCTCTGAGCCTTAGACGTTTTTCCCTCCTGCAGGGGCAAATATGAGAGATCGAGTGAGAATTGAGGAGTCACAGTGATCCGCTCTTATGCTAAAGTCCAAGTTTTTCACCTTGGTGAAACAAGAATGGACACACAAAGGATCATAATGGGGCAAATGCAGGATGTGATCCACAATCAGCAGATCCTGTCAACTAGAGGCTTCAAAGGATCAAAGTACATGTCATGTGACATCACAGTGACAAACCTCAAAGATCCTTTCCCCCATGTTTTTCTTGTTTCAAAATAACCAAAAGAAAAAAGTAAGGTTTTGGCAAAAATGCTTGCATTGAGGAGATGTTATTTGTGAAAAGTGGTCTGTGGTTGGAGGAACAAATAAGGTAAAAAGGATGGAGCATATCTTAGAGAGAATGTTGCCATGGAAAACAGATGGGAACAATCTGGATGAAGCAGGAAATAGAGGATAAACTGGTGTATATGGTGGTATTTGTTTTGCCATGTGTTACCCTTCCTAATGAGTATAGACCTGTGAAGATCCGGGTAGAGAATAGGTCCTCAGCAACCCTTGCTTGCTGTAAGAGGCGACTATGCTTGTTGTAAGAGGCGAATAACAGGATTGGGTGGTCAGGCACGCTGACTTGGTTGATGCATGTAATCGTATCTCAATTGCATTGATCGATGCTCATGTCAATCACTGGATTGTCTGGTCCAGACATGATTATTTACAGACTGCTATCATTTAGCTGGCATATTGCTGAGTGTGGCATTAAACAACAAACAAACGTAATGTGTTGCTAGGACAGGAATTTCACCTTTTGCTCCTGTCTATACTGGGGGAGATCTGGCATGCTGGTGGTGGGGACGTACTCCTCCTGAGGTGGTGGGGTCAATGTCCTCTCCCTGCTGGGGGGTATAGGGCTCCAATCATCCACAGATTTGGTCTCCTCAGGCTCGGGGGTTACCTCAGGGGAAGACTGAAAGTTTATCATTCGTCATTAGAAGTCCAGAAATATACATTACACAAAGATTCTACATGGACCAGAATCCAATTATCACATCTGAGATTAAAGTACCCTAAATTATCTGAAAAGTATAAAATCCTGACATCAGCATACTTTATAGATGACATTTTATGAAGTACAGAACAAGCTAGGGCATGAAGCTTCCTAAATATATCTTGAAGTATTGAAATTACAAGAATTGTACATATTAAGGTGCTTTGGGGTTCTTTATAGACCAAAACCAAACTTAAAAACGTTCTTACAATGATTTCTTTCTCAGAAACCCTTAGTACCAGTTTATACAGATGACTGCACAGTAGAACATGGATATAACAAGCTATAAGGGACCGGAGAAATCAGTTGGTTGTAAACGTAGTTTGTTCTACATGTAGTTCTTTTTACATGTTTTCACTCGAAACATCACCAACTTGGATTGCACCCGAGAAATAAAACAAAACACTCAAGTTGTTACTTAGCGATAACTCTATTAAGCAAACCATTCAACTCACATGTCACAACATTGATAGATGCATTGTGTTAAGCATGTGATTATGATCATCTGGAAGACTACAAAGTTGAACAAGCAATTTTTACAAGTATTATAGCCTATTGCACATGCATGACATGAAGGTTTCATAATGAATACACTTTCATTACTCCAGCCACATTTCACAGGGGAATTTAGTTCCCCCGGAACATTATTAACAAGGCCCAATTTATTGCTCACATATACAGGTATAGAAGAAAATATATTCTCAGTTTGCTCTACACGTCACCAAATAGTGTTACCGTATTCAACGTAATAAGCGCCCCGCTCTAATAAGAGCCCATGGAGATATTTGTTAATATATTGGCTTGTGATCAATCCCAATTAGCACCCCTTCCAATTGATCAATGTACACAAGACTTATTTATTCGTGTAAAGTACGCACCCGTGTGTTATATGCACCCTTAATTATGGGCAATTAAATTCTTTTGTATGATTTCAGGCTGTCAGCTTAAACCACGAAATTTACAAAAAAATAATTTCATCTCACTAAAATTATATTCTAATAAGAGACCCCTGTTTCTAATTCTGAGAGCGCCCCGAGCGCTGATTACGTTGAATATGGTATTTTGGATGGCGGGGATCAATGTCAGTTTGCTGTATACCTTAATTTGCAATAAATTTTTGTTATACAAATATATTATATATGATAATATATAGGAGTGAAATCTGGGATTTCGTAACCTATGTTCCATCAATTTGTTCGTTCTGTCCATTTTCTCTCTATCCATGTTCTACTGTGTGTTAGAGGTTAAAGGTGTGTGCAACTTTTACTCTGATATGAGTGTTAGATAGGATAGGCTGTGAAAGTGCTTCGTCCCTTCTTACAGTCATTGGTTTCCGGCATGTTTTGTTATTTACAGCAATACTCACCTTCCGCCTTGTGAACTGTATCGGTGATCGTTCTTTCTTGACAATAGCAGATCTCTGCTTCTTGGGGCTCTCGGGACTGAGGGACTGGCGTGGACTTTCTGTAGTGCTGGTCTCCTTACCGGAGTCTGTAACATAAAGTGTCAGCAGTCAGGGGAGATAATCCTAGTGATCAGCACATGGGCACAGACACAGTCAGCCGTCAGGGGAGGTAATCCTAGTGTTCAGCACATGGGCATAAACACAGTCAGCCGTCAGGGGAGGTAATTCTAGTGTTTAGCACATGGGCATAGACACAGTCAGCAGTCAGGGCAGGTAATCCTAGTGCTCAGCATAATGGGCATAGACACAGTCAGCAGTCAGGGGAGATAATAATCCTAGTGATCAGCACATGGGCACAGACACAGTCAGCCGTCAGGGCAGGTAATCCTAGTGATCAGCACATGGGCATAGTCACAGTCAGAATTCAGGGGAGGTAATCCTAGTGATCAGCACATGGGCATAGACACAGACAGCCGTCAGGGGAGGTAATTTTAGTGTTCAGCACATGGGCATAGACACAGTCAGCAGTCAGGGGAGATAATAATCCTAGTGATCAGCACATGGGCACAGACACAGTCAGCCGTCAGGGCAGGTAATCCTAGTGATCAGCACATTGGCATAGTCACAGTCAGAAGTCAGGGGAGGTAATCCTAGTGATCAGCACATGGGCATAGACACAGTCAGCAGTCAGGGGAGGTAATTCTAGTGTTCAGCACATGGGCATAGACACAGTCAGCAGTCAGGGGAGGTAATCCTAGTGATCAGCACATGGGCATAGACACAGTCAGTCATCAGGGGAGGTAATCCTAGTGATCAGCACATGGACATAGTCAGGGGAGGTAATCCTAGTGATCAGCACATGGTCAAAGACACAGTCAGCAGTCAGAGGAGGTAATCCTAGTGATCAGCACATGGACATAGTCAGGGGAGGTAATCCTAGTGATCAGCACATGGTCAAAGACACAGTCAGCAGTCAGAGGAGGTAATCCTAGTGATCAGCACATGGACATAGTCAGGGGAGGTAATCCTAGTGATCAGCACATGGACATAGTCAGGGGAGGTAATCCCAGTGATCAACACATGGACATAGTCAGGGGAGGTAATCCTAGTGATCAGCACATGGGCATAGACACAGTCAGCCGTCAGGGGAGGTAGTCCTAAGGATCAGCGCATGGGCATAGACACAGTCAGCAGTCAGGGGAGGTAATCCTAGTGAACAGCACATGGGCACACAGAGAACAGTTTTTCCAAGGAAAATTTTTCCATGATACATTTTAACTATCAACATTTGCTCTGGATGGAATAAATTCCATGTGAAACTGATCATCCATGATATCATCACAGGTTTTACACGGGTATACTCAAGGTATATGCTGGTCATTGGCAGAAATTCTGTCAGTTTTAAAATTCAAAACTTAGGGGCGAAAGAAATTATACCTCTCAGTTGATTTCATGTTTGATTTTCAATTGTAAATATCTTAAGTTAGCGATATCATACAAAATAAATTACCTGTATTAGCACTTGGTCGGTACTCAAAGAATACTTCGCCATGTTGTTTTTTTCATTTAAAACTTTTAATTTTTTATATTTTTTTTCATACTACACAACTGCTCATAGCTATCTTAGAATCATATCTTTGAAAATAAAAGAAATTGCTTTTTTTGGTACAAATGTACATTTCAAAATATGGTAGGGGGTTATGAGGTTGCAAACTCATTTTCCACCAATGTCATTGAACCAATTTATTTTTACACAAAATTACAAAGCCTCTTTACAAACTGTGTGAATGAGTGATGGTTAAATAGACTCAAATTGAGCAACAGTTTTTTAAAATTTTCAATTACTTAAAAAACAAACTTTCTATCCTTTCTTTTGCCCAACAGTTTATAAATCTCACCATAAGAATATGTCATGTCATATTTTTAAACAATACTCGAGAGTATTCTTTAGGGTTTGTTCTCACTTTGCCAGCAGGCAGGGGGATTAAAACTGACGGTCATGTTAATTCAAAGGTATAGTCTGTTTCATTCTTGAATGGTGAGCTGAACTCAGTGTGCGTGGTATCATCTAGCCAAGCCTTGTAAATTACCAGAACCATATTCGACGCTCTCAAAATTAGAAATAGGGGGCTGAGTTGAAAGATTGTAAATTTCATAGTTTATGCTGACAGTATCATACACGACAGATATATATTCCAAAATATAATTGCCCATAATAAGGGCGCATATAACACACGAGTGCGTGTTAAACATGAATTATTAAGTCTCGTGCACATTGATCAATCGGAAGGGGTGCTAATTGGGTTTGTTCACTAGCCAAAATATTTGCAAATATCGCCGTGGGGGCTTATTAGAGGGAGGTGCTTTTTACCTCATTTAATCCCCATTGTTCTGGGATTTAACTGGGTGTGGTAATTTATGGTTCCGATAATACCGGCCAGCAAAGTGAGAACCCCCCCTCGTGAGAGAGTGAGTGGACATTTTTTTTTGTGATGCAGTCCATGATGTATACCATATGTAACGGTAGTCAATCAGATATGGTAAAAAGATATTTTAATAGCGCTTTATTGTTTCTTCTCATTAGTGGTGAGTATTGTTTTTAGCTGGGGTATGGAGCGAGTACCATGCTTTCCGGTGAGAAAGGCCTATGTTTATCCGCATTCCGTCAAGATGTTTTACGGATTTCAGGGAATTGGACAACTGTGAGTTCTCTATATTAGAAATTCTGTAAAATAAACATCATGAATACTCAGTTTCTCCGTTCAGAGTTTTCGAAAACATTATACCATATGAGAGTTTTCAGACATGGGTTTATATACACTTTTTCATTTCAATGAATAGAACTAAAAATCAACATACAGATGACTTTACTGCACTGCAAAAAGTGTTTTCCAAACTGAGGTTCTGTAGCAATTACATTTAATCAAATATATAGGCCCAAAAAGAAACTGCACACCGTAAAAAAATAAGGACCAAAAATATACATTGGACCTTCATACAAAATCAATTATGTTTCACAATAGAAAAATCATTTCTACACAAATGTGAATAACAATAAATTACTTATGCTGTATTGCCTTGACGTCAGAATGCCAGTCTTACGTAGTGGGTCAAACCCGAAAGTCACAGGCTCATTATCGTGTAAGGCAACTGCATCAACAACAGCTGGCTGCAAAATGGATCGGTCAAGACGCAATGCAGATTTCAAGATTTTGTTTTGTTTGTTTGTTGTTTAACGCAGCACTCAGCAATATTATAGCTATATGACGGACGGCGGTCTGTAAATAATCAAGTCTGGACCAGACAATGCAGTAATTGACATCATGAGCATCAATACTTGCAATTGGGATGCGATGACATGCATCACCAAGTCAGTGAGCCTGACCACCCGATCCCATAAGTCGCCTCTTACAACAAGCATAGTCGCCTTTTACAGCAAGCATGTGTTGCTGAACATCTATTTACCCCAGATCTTCACGGGTCCCTATTTAAAGACCTCTTCGATAAAAAAATATTTATATATAATATATCACAAAACACCTCGTGCCTTGTGACGTTCATCTGTAGTCAATGTTGGCATGGCGTCGTAGTCAGTGGAGTCGGGTGAAGCAGGTGGAAATGTGAATGTTTTGAACGTCCAAGTGTTGGCTTTACACAGTTGGGGCTGGTATATATATACAATCAAAGACCTATAGTCTTCCTTGTTTTCTATATGTGCTTGAATCATTCAAATGTAAAAAATAACTAACTTTGCTTTTAATTTTTGAAATCAAGACATATTTCTAGAAAAATATAACATATAGACATTCATCAAACATTCATTATTATGTGAAAATCATGCATACTTTGGTCTTCATATTTAAAATCACCATAATTTAAACGTATCCAATTATTTGTGACAATTTCAGCAAGAGAAAATCTATACTATAGACTATAGACTCACCAAATTGTTGATCTTGTCCTAGATCCGGTAACTCCAAATCAGTTTCTGTAACATAGGGATGTTGTATCTGGGCTTGACAATTGCTCAGGTGAATTTAATATTAAACACGCACATAATTTGGTACATAGTTACAAACTACAGGTAAATTATACATGACTTATACATGAATGTCAACATTTATTTGCCTTGACTTACCTCTGCCATCAAGAGAGTTTTCAACATCTGAGCTACTCAGTGAGATTATCTTGAGAGCTCGTTCTCGAGCCTGCTCCATTGTGGCAAAATCCTTCGATTGTATGTCCTATTTCAAATTATAACATGTTACCAACTTTGAGAATCCATTCAGAATTTGTCAGTAATACAACAGATACCTCCCTGTCCTTCAACCTCAAGGAACAATCTTAATGTAAAAACATCCTTCAAGATCATCAACACTTAAACTTCCACTGCTTTGAGTCACAGAGTCAGTATAGCAATATTACAGCTCTGACAGTGCATGGCAGAGACATTTAATCCAGCTCTCTAGAACTCTCCTATCCATCAGTTTAATATCCTCCAATCCCTTGTTATTATAACCTATCAGGTTTCAACAAATGATACACAAAAAACTCCTCATATTCACGAGAGCAAGAAAGTTATTGAGTTATTATTCCCACTCCAAATGTTGCTAAATCACATCAGACGGAGATGACGAGTTCAGTAGATCTCTAACTCTTTACAACGATCAAGATGACGATCTGAGGAGGAGAGTTGGCATCACTTAGCCGAGTTGTTGCTAAATCACATCAGACGGAGATGACGAGTTCAGTAGATCTCTAACTCTTAACAAGGATCAAGATGATGACCTGAGGAGGAGAATTGGCATCACTTAGCCGAGTTGTTGCTAAATCACATCAGACGGAGATGACGAGTTCAGTAGATCTCTACCTCTTTACAACGATCAAGATGATGACCTGAGGAGTAGAGTTGGCATCACTCAGCCGAGTAACTGCCTCACAGATCCCAGGATCGGTTTATGAAGACAGAATATCCACTCCACTGGATGAGTGAGCCTAGGTATCCCTCTTGACAGGAACTGTGACAACGTGTAAATGGGTCTTGTTAATTTGTTCTAAAACTACTCCAGATAAGAACAGAGCCAATTCCAGGATACATAACTCAAGCGATGAACCTGTGTGTGAACATCACAGGCAGAAGCGAAGAGTCAGATCGGACTTGTCAACAGCTCATTTTTGGACAAGTTGTTAATGTCAAAACATGAGTCCAGATTTTCACTAGTCTCAGGCCTAGCGGACTTATGTATATATAAGTTGGTGTACACACAACAGTATCTGTTCCCATCCCTTGAGTCAATGTACAACAGCACTTGTCAGACTCAATGTGAATACAATACACAAATTAATTAATCTGAAATTCCCGTAAGTCTGAAATCCAGTTCTGATATAAATAACTCTGAAATCAGGTGTGAAAATTGAATATATAAACCGAGAAGTTCCATTAAAGCTCAAGGGATTGGCTAAAGTAGATGAATATTAAGCAATAAAACCTCGCCGCTGGGTCGTGCTTCATGCCCTGACTGGGGCAGCTGAACTTGTTTACAATGAAGCCAGATTTCTTTGTTAGTCTTGAGATTAGTTTCCTAAGACGCATGTTTATTTCCAATCTATCATGGCAATAAAGTATGTTATATGATGCCTTGAATGGCGGCTGATCACCAGCTGAGACCGACTCTGCCCCTGGGATGACTACGCTATAGATCAGTGTCAGCTCGCCTAGTCTGGCGGTAAGCTGTAACTGCAATACCGTCAAATCTACCTGTTAGCCTGGGCTACACTCATTACTGACACGTTGATGTTTACATGTTTCAGTCTTTGTGGCAACAACCTACTGAGGTGTTCTGTCCTCCATGAAGAATGTAACTTGTTGCATGCTTAAGGTCTTAATCTATCTGTGAAAAAAATACATTTAAAAATAGGGAAACTAAAGACACTTGAAAAACTATGAAATCAATTCATTTGTGTGGCTAATTCAAATGAAAGAAATATAAAAAAATAATGTTTTTATGACAGGTTGTACTGTAGATTTCTTTTTCTAATGAAATGTCAACAAGATAATTTTGTATAGTGTGTCGATGTTACCATATGTCTTGTTGTTGAGGAATTAAATGATTGAATTCATACTGCAAAGGATGGATTTCCATTGCAAATAAATTACTTATAGTTTTCTAAATCAATAGCAAGTTCATAAAACTCAATATCGATACATATTTTTGAAAAAATTTAAAAAGAATTGTAACTTGGCAAATTGCTTTTGATTGCCAAACATGCATTAAAAAACCTGGGTCAGGCAAACTGATGGCTGACAGGAGGAACTATCAGCACCACGGTACCAGATCACACATTGCACCCACCTCCCCATCACTGTTCAGCCTTGTGACAAGTATAGGGAAGTGGACACTTGTTCTGCTTGTATCCCCATGAGGACACTGTAAAATGGTACTTTCTCTCAAGCAATATTCAGAGGCGAAGATATGAAGTCTTAGGTCTCTGACTTTAGCCACAAGTCTGAACCCTGAGTCTTGCAAAATGTCTTTCTGATTTGAAACATCAGCCCATATACTAACATGAAAGGTATTAAATATGTTATCAGTTGACTGAAAGTCATTGTAAGTCACTGAATCATAAGAAACAAAATCATGTAAGGCTTTTATCCTTTTTTTCATTGGTTTACTGATCCTCAGACACAAAATACTGAGAAAAAGGAAGAAGACATAATGAAATTATGATTTAATTTTTTTTTTTCTATCACTGATGACCTGAATTTCATTTGTACTGAAATAGAAAAATGTATTTCTATAATCTTGCAACGCAGTAAAGAGATTACTTTGCTATCAAGACTAATCGGTACATTGCAGAAAGACAATGCAGTGTTGATAGAAAGGTGCGGTCAGGTGAAATGCGGTTTATCGTTGTGTCCAAGATTATTGCACTAGTATAGCGATGTGCATGTGTAAGAGTGAATATTATCTTATCCTATTTTTTATCCCAGGGATGAAATTCTATAGTGTCAGGATGATTCTTCCTAGTGAATTTGAACCCATAGCAGTGTGTTTAATCCTATCTTATACTATACTCTAGAGTAAAACTTCCCCCGGGATAATATTTAGGTAGGATATAATCCTTGCTTACATATGCACATGTGGCTGCTTGTACTAGTCCGGACTGATGCCGGTTTATAGTTCTAGCACACTGAGTTACCATGCCGCAGGTTAACATGAATACCCAACTCAGACACGGTATACTGACTCCAAGCCGACCAGTCCTTGTTTTAGCCCCTTAATGTCGAGCGCCAGACAGGGTAACAACAAGTACCATCTTTAAACGTCTTTTGGTATGACATGGCCAGGGATCAAAGCCCTGAGCTTCCGCCCCCGAGTACCGTATTCAACGTAATAAGCGCCCCGCTCTAATAAGCGCCCACGGCAATATTTGCTAATATATTGGCCAGTGAACAATCCTAATTAGCACCCCTTCCGATTGATCAATGTACACAAGACTTATTTATTCGCATATAATAAGCACACATGTGTTATATGTACCCTTAATTACGGACAATTAAATTCTGGAAAAATATATCTGTCGTACATAAACATTTCAGGCTGTCAGCATAAACCACAAAATTTATCTTTTAACTCGTTTGTTTTTCACTATTCTAATATTCTAATAAGAGCCCCCTATTTCTAATTTTGAGAGCGCCCTGGGCGCTTATTATGTCGAATACGGTATTAGTAACAGTAGCTACATCCCAGTACCTTTTCTTGTCATGTCAGAATTTGTTTGTTTTTTGGCTACTGAATTGGGAAAAACCTGTAAACCAACCAAACAAAAAGGCTATTAAGTGCAATGCTTTAACTCCTGTCAGACCTGTTTAGACACGTCACCAAGACAAGCATGTATTGCTCATACCCTTGGACTCACTACACAAAGTGAATAAGTGTGATTGTATGATTGTTTGAATTTGTGATTGCATGATTGTGTAAATTGTATTTTATACTGCAGTCAGGATTATTCCAGTCATGTCCCTGTGTCCTGCCACATAAATCAGTGGTTGACAGCATGAGCATCAGCCTATGCTGTTGTGGTAAAATGATGCAAAATCTCATTCATATGGTTCTTAAGGATTGGTGTTAGGATTGTATCATACTGATCCAACACCCCCATTATATGTAACATTTTTCCATGGCCGCAACTCAATACATGTAGCATTTTTTTTTAATTTGAAAAATAGAACTGTCATTTTTTCATAAGTTGTGATAAATCTGGCTTGCCCCTCCCTCCTTCGCTGTATCTTTCACCATAAATGGCCTACTTAATAAATGACCAGTCCCTCAATTACATCCATGGAGAACTGGAGACCTGTTGTTTTATTTATCACCCAGGAAAAATGTCATCAATATTATTTTAGATGAGATCTACCTTTACGCATATCACATTTCGGAAGGACAAATATTGCAAACTGTTGAAAGACGTCTGTTTCAGAAGCACCTGCTGTTTTCTGCCTAACTGTGTTGTAACAGTACTGCGTTACCATGGCAACAGTAGGAAAAAATCATCATATGACATTTATAATTCAAGTTGTCAAAAACATGTAAAGGACAATTAAGCAAACTGTCTAAACAGATACTACCGTATTCGACATAATAAGCGCCTAGGGCGCTCTCAAAATTAAAAATAGGGGGCTCTTATTAGAATATTATTTGGGGAAAAAAAAACAGAGTTGAAAGATAAATTCCATGGTTTATGCTGACAGCCTGAAATGTTTATATACGACAGATATATTTTTCCAGAATGTAATTGCCCATAATTAAGGGTGAATGTAGCACACGAGTGCGTATTATACGCAAATAAATAAGTCTTGTGTACATTGATCAATCGGAAGGGGCGCTAATTGGGATCGTTCACTAGCCAATATATTAGCAAATATCGCAATGGGCACTTATTAGAGCGGGGTGCTTATTACGTCGAATAGGGTATATTGTCTAACAT